GGCTTTGGGGGAAAAAAAAGGAGGAGGATTGGCAATAGATGTTAGCTCAGAGCCGGTCTTCCTCAGCAAAAAGAGGAGGATTGGCATGGATGTTAGCTCAGGGCTGATCTTCCTCACAGAAAAAACAAAACAAACAAACAAAAAAACAACAACAACAGAGAGGAAGAAGACAGGAAGGAAATACATCAAAGTGCTGACAGGACATCTTCAGATAAAGAAAGAGGAGTGAAACAGGATTAGACTCTGGCTTCCCCAATACCTGATGAAGCAAACACAAAAAATTCAAATTTTTTCAAAGCCAAAAATTCACCAGCATCAACCAAATAATAAAAAGGAAATAAACTTCTTCCCAAAATTCTGAAAAGAGTCAGCCAAGGAAAGAAATAGGAGATTCTGGGGCCAGCCTGGTGGCGCAAGCGGTTAAGTGCGCGCGCTCTGCTACAGCGGCCTGGGGTTCGCCGGTTCAGATCCCGGGCGCGCACCAACGCACTGCTTGGCAAGCCATGCTGTGGTGGTGTCCCATATAAAGAAGAGGAAGATGGGCACGGATGTTAGCCCAGGGCCAGTCTTCCTCAGCAAAAAAAAAAGGAAGATTGGCAGATGTTACCACAGGGCTGATCTCCTCACAAAAAAAAAAAAAAAGAAATAGGAGATTCTTCTGCCTGTCCTCCCTAAAAGTAGTAATCAGGAATGTAGGAAGTGTCACCCAGAATTTTCTCACAAACACCTTCCAATTTTGACAAGCCAACAAAGGGAGTGGGTGAGTAACCCTGAGAAAGTTCAGGAGAAGCCCTTGTGGGCAGAAGCCTGCACTCACCAGGAGCGCTGAGAAGTGGCAGGGCAAGCTACCAGCGCTGGCCATCTTGGAAGTGGGGGAGCACTGGGCCACGATAGGGTTCAGTACACACTACCCCAAAATACAACACCTTGGCATACTGGATATTTCAAGCTGAAGAAATCTGAGAAATGGCAGGCGCAGGAAGGACTTTCTGACCTTCCCTTGAAGCAGGTCCTAAGACCCTCATGTGAGAGATGCCTTCCCCAGACCTGGAGGAAAAGAACATCCTTATCTCCAAGACAGAGGGACACCAAGAGGAATCGGAAGAACGGGGCTGCTAAGTTGCCCCTAGTTTACCACACTCAGCTCATGTCCCTTTTGTCCTATCACATTTCCCCACAACTGTCCACTCTTCATCAAACCTAGCATAAAGACACTCAGGCATAACTGCTTCTTCAGGACTTCATTTCCGTATAAAGGCTCCAGTGTCATGTAAAACTTAAATAAATTTGTATGCTTTTCTCCCATTAATCTGTCTTTATAAGAGACCCAGCTGAGAAAGAAAAGGTTTGAAGGATCCTTTTCCTCTACCACAGCTATACTCAGGGGACCACCCAGAGCCGAGGGTGGGGGTAGAGGAACACCACTGGCTGGTGGAGGGGGCCCTGGGACAGGGCTTTAATGGAGTCTGGGGAGACAGAACAGAGGCTAGCCCTCCCACAAAGGGCTTACTCAGCATGAGCTGAGCTTGTGTTCTATCCCACACCCTCTTAGGCTAGAACAAAATGGAGAGAAAGCAATCTAGCATTTGGAGTGGGAAAGACAACTGGTCCCACATAGTGGGGGAAAGAGACAAAGTGAATCCACTCACACTGTATCTGAGCAAAGAAAAGGGGAGCACAACATAGATGCCGACATTAAGCCTGGATAAGATGAAAAGAAATGGCACAGAAACTATGCAAACATAATACAACAAATAGAAAGAGAGAAAGAAAGGAGGGATGGAAGAAAAAAACACCTCAGGAATTCAGTCTGGGAGAAAACATAATCCAAGAAGGCGTCTCCATGGCTGTCTCAAGCTATAGATGATTCAAAAGAAATAAGAATCCAATAAAACAAGAGCTCAAAGACAGAAAGTAAATCAACAGAATAAGGTGAAAAGATTGCAGAGCTAAGGAAACAGATTGAGAGCCAAATGACACCAATACAGTGCTAATAAATGAATTAGAGCAGTAAAGAACAGCACAGAATGACTAAAAATTGAATAAGGCACAGGGTAAAGACCTGAGATCATTTCAGTGGATACAGGAAAAAATGGAAAAACATCATCTCACACACTCAAAAGAAATGTGACAGATATGAAGGCAAGGTGATGAGACAAAGAATAACTAGTTTCCCAAAATAGAAAGTCCAATAAGCATAACAGAGAAAATATTCAGAAATACAAATCAAAAAATTTTCCCTGGGGCCGGCCTGGTGGTGCAAGCGGTTAAGTGCGCACGCTCCGCTGCGGTGGCCCAGGGTTCGCCGGTTCGGATCCCAGACGCACACCAACGCACCGCTTGTTAAGCCATGCTGTGGCGGCATCCCACATAAAGTAGAGGAAGATGGGCACAGATGTTAGCCCAGGGCCACTCTTCCTCAGCAAAAAGAGGAGGATTGGCATCGGATGTTAGCTCAGGGCTGGTCTTCCTCACAAAAAAAAAAAAAAAAAAAAAAAATTTTCCCTGAATTGAAGGAAGGAGTAAATCTAGCCTCAGTATTCTCCAAAGCCATGTTTAAAACCAGAAGGTGATGGAGCAAAAAAGATCTGAGGGAATGAGTGTGGCCCAAGAACAGCACACCCCGTCACCGTCTTTTTTAAGTATAAAGGCAACAGGCAGAAATTCTTCAACATGAATGAGTTCAAAAATATAACACCCTCCAGCCCTTGCAATAAAAACCACTCAACAAGAAATTCTGCCCTCTAGCACTTGGGAAGCAGTGGTAAGCACTGAACCCTCTGAAATGTAGATCCCATGCTGTAGCTGAGGGAATCAAGGAGGCAGAATGGAAAATGTTATAAACTCTGACACGGGAAAAATAGAACAACAAAAACTGGGAGTGAGGGAAGGGAAGATAGGAATGGGTAGAAATATAAGTACTAACTGTCACATCTTTCATAGCAGGAAGTCAATTTTTCTGTCAAATAAATACAAAATTAAATATAAGACTTTTTGTTTTAACAATAATAGTATGCATGACATAGCCTATTCTTTTGAAATTATTTCCATTTAGCCAGTTATCCATTGATTCGTCCTTTTAAATAGATATCTGAGAAGAAAGATGTCTAGAATAATGGCCACCAAAAGTTAGTATTAAGCATTTCCGAGAAGTGGGATATTGGGGGAATAGTTAATGGTGGTTAGGAATCTTTAGAAGATATGCTTATGGGTGATTTTTTTGTTCTTTTTTCTACTTTCCTATATATTCTGTATTTTGAAATGTGTCCATATACATTGAAAAAATGGAATGTCTCTGGTTATAAAGGAAAAAGGACAGTTGAGAATGACAAAATAAAAAACAAGATGAGAAAAGACTGCCACAGAGAGAACCAAGCTTATTTAAAGGCAAAAGAGCAGAAGCAGGAATTAGTAGAGAGAAAATGCAGACTGAGAAGCAAGGGCCCTTGTAACTAATAAGTGTTAGCATCCACCAATTTCACTAATAAATCCTGTCTAAATAATGACAACTCCCAAATTCATACCTCCATCTCAGACCTTTCCTTAACTCCACACTCACGTCAACATCTCTACTTGAAGGTCTGACAAGTATTTCAAACGTAATGCGCCCAAACCAAAACCAAATTCTTGATCTTCCCCATTTCAGTAAATTCAAGTCAAAAACCTTCAAGTCATCCTTGACCATCTCTTTCTCTCACACACCCACCCAGCCGCCCAATCCAAACTCAGCAAATCCCATTGGCTTCATTTCTATCAAAACATAACCTGAATCCAGTCACTTCTTACCACCTTCTTTACTATCAGCCTGGTCCAACCACGTATTTCCAGACTGGGTGACTATAGCAGCCTCCTAACTAGCTCCCGGCTCCCACTCTTTCCCTGACATCTATTCTCCAAACAGCAGCCAGGGTGATCTTTCTAAAGCGTAGGTCAGATCACGTCACTCTTTTGCTCAAAACTCTCTGATGCCTCCCATCTTATTCAGAATAAAACCCAAGGTCTCCACCATGCCCTACAAGGTCCTACCTGAACTCCTACACAGGCTCCTATCTCAGGGCCTCTGGGCCTACTCTTCCCTCCACCCAGAATGCTCTTCTCCCAGTCACAAGGTTCATCCCCTCATTTCATTCAGATCTCTGCTCCAATAACATCTTCTCAGAGAGGACTTCCTTGATCTTTCTAGTAAACTCGCACCCCCACATCCTTTTCCTGCCTTAGTGAGAGCAAGAATTTTTTTTCTTTGTTCACAGCTATATTCCTAGAGCTTACAAGAGTATCTGACACAAAGCAGGTGCTCAAAATTTCTTAAATGAATGAATCTAATATTTTTTCTCAAAACATTGCATTATAAACCAATATTACCTCAATTAAAAAAAAAAAGAAAGTGGGTGTGCCCAGACAACTTGGCAGGGCCAGGAATAACCTGGTCCTCTAGTTCGTCTGCCTCGGAAGCAGGTTGAGGGCAGTGCCTCTCTCCTGGCCTGAACCCTCAGGACATTCCCACACCTGCATCCCTACAGGCCAGTAAAGGCCTCAGCTGTAGAGGGCTGCAGCCCTCCACAGGGGAAGTGCTATGGTATTGTCTGCATAAGACATTATGTGACTTATACACAGTAAAACATTCATTTATTTATTTTGCATCTTCATTCTTAAAAAAAAACCCAAAACATTGCAAATGATGTCTTTCTTTTCTGCTGATTATCAGACTACTCTATGCATTAATATAATTCATACAAAAATTATTTGCTCTTAATAAGCAACACATGGAAGTTATGAGAAACTCTATGGAGCCCAAGAATCAAGGCTGGTTTCTGGCCAATTCCATTTCTGGCCAATTCCCACACGTGTATTTGGGGGAGGGTGGGTGGTGGGGAGGGTTTGTGGTAGGGAGGGCAGAAATCAACCAACTCAGTCCCTGGTATGTGGATGAGAGGTCTGGCTGCCTTATACCCAGTTAGGACAGAATGAGACTTCAGAAACTAACGTCAGCTTAACTGTACCTGTCCCCGTTGGGTCACCTCCCTGGATCATGAAGTCTTTGATGATCCTGTGGAATTTGGTGCCATTGTAGTAACCTCGACGAGCCAACTCAGCAAAGTTCTTACAGGTCTTTGGAGCATGCTTCCAGTACAGCTCCAGCACAATGATCCCCATGCTGCAGGGGGAGAGGACAGTAGAGCTTCAGTCAAGAACAAGGTCACAGCAAACAGGAATATCAGGGGACTGCTCCACGACTCTTCGTTTTCAAGCTTATAAGTCATGAAATTGTGATCACACTCAGCAAAGGAAAACAACACAAAGCAAATAACACAGCCACAGATATCTCCTCTGAGTAACACATGCAGGGGCTTCCGGCACTTCTTTTAAGCAAAATAACAACCATAGACAACTCAAAATTCTAGTATCTTACATATAAAAAATCACCAATTATCTGGAACCCATATAATCAACACCTAAATTAGGAAAAACAAATTTACACTTAATTTGTAAATTTTTTAAAAAGGAGGACATTAAAATATCGAGAGTCATATTTATTTATATATGCCTAAGTTTCTGGGTGGGGATGGGAACTGGGTAAATGGGAGACAGGAAGATTTTCAATGAATTTCTTTTTTAAACCGTTGTATTTTTGAACCACGTAAATGTATTACCTATTTGTAAAAATTTTTAATGAAAAAAGGTAGTTTGTGGGGCCAGCCCGGTGGCGCAAGTGGTTAAGTGCACGCGCTCCGCTGTGGCAGCCCGGGGTTTGTCCGTTGGGATCCTGGGCGCGCACCGACGCACCGCTTGTCAAGCCATGCTGTGGCGGCGTCCCATATAAAGTGGAGGAAGATGGGCACGGATGTTAGCCCAGGGCCAGTCTACCTCAGCAAAAAAAAGAGGAGGATTGGCAGATGTCAGCACAGGGCTGATCTCCTCACACACAAAAAAAAAGGTATTTTGTGTGTGTTTAGGAGGAGTGCAACAAAGGCAAACCTGATGACTTCAAACCTTTGCAACTATCAAATGTGAGGAGCACCCCCACTCCATACTGCTAAGAAAAAGGAAGAAGTAAAAGCCTTAGGACAGGTGCCTTCCCCTCCACTCCATCACTCACCTACATTTTATGCTCCAAGGATGTGAGAATTGAGTCAACTCTGTATAGCCTAAATACCAACTGCCTAGCACAGTGTAAGCATTCTATAAATATACGTGGTATGTGTTAGAACATAGCTTTCTAAAAGCCCATCTACTGGTAATTTATCCTTCACGCTACTAAGATTCAACACAGATTAACAATTACTCTGATAGGCACAGTTCTAGGTGCTTTTCCCCTTACGAATCTGACACTCTGGTGGATATTTAAAACACAGGGAATAAATTTCTGGATTGACAATCAGGAAGTATCTATACAATTCTGAAATGTGCATACCTTTTGATTCAGCAATTTCAACTCCTATCTATTCTATAGAAAACTAACAAAAGCGCTTAAGGATACAGTATGTGCAAGGATGTTCATTCCAGTATTTGTCATACAAAAAACAAGAAGCAATTTAAATGTCCTTCAAAGAGGGAATGACTAAAATATGAAATATCTATACTATAGGGGAGTTCATGTGTTAGTGAATAAAAGAAAAGCAAATTACAGGAAAAACTTATATACGGTATAATCATATGATCCTATTTTTGTTAAAAAATAGAACACAAAAGAGACATTTTATATGTACACAGAAAAAGATCTAGAAGGTGACCCAACAAACTATTAATAGAGTTTCTGGGGTCCGCCCGGTGGCACAAGTGGTTAGGTGCACGCACTCCGCTACGGCGGCCTGGGGTTCGCCGGTTCGGATCCCGGCACGCACTGATGCACTGCTTGTCAGGCCATGCTGTGGCGGTGTCCCATATAAGGTGGAGGAAGATGGGCACGGATGTTAGCCCAGGGCCAGTCTTCCTCAGTAAAAAAAGAGGAGGATTGGCACGGATGTTAGCTCAGGGCCGATCTTCTTCACAAAAAATAAAAAAAAATAGTGTTTTTACAGGGAGGAGTGGCTTTCACTTCTTATTCTATTCACTTCTACACTGCTTGGATTTCAATTTCAATTGATTTTATAATTCAAAAAAATGTTAACAGGTGAGTTCAGAAATTAATTTCAGGTTGGGGCCTGAAGAAATAGAATTTTGCCATATAAGAAGCTCGGGAAGAAGACGGCCAGGGAGCAAAAGCAGCATCTGAGAGAACTCTGTGCTCTGGCGGGAAGTACCATGGACAAGAACAGAAAGGGACGTGGCGGCTGGACCCTGGCTGCTGATGCGGGAACGGCAGAAGACGTAGCCAGAGAGGTAGACAAAGGCCAGACGAAAGAAATCACCCTGAACGTCAGACTGCGGAGTTTTAATTTTATAGTGTTGTAGCAGCAAGAAGCTACTTAGGGTTACTTGTCCTACACTGGAAAGATGGCTTTGAACTTTTTCCAAAGAGGCAATGGAATGAATGGGGCTACAGAACCCATCACGTGAGGTGGACAGATCAGGCTCCAATGGGGTTCCCCCACTCACTAGCTGTGCGGCTTTGGTCAAACCATTTAATGTCAATTTTGGCATTTCCCCCCGCTAAAACTGGAAAAAAACTGGAATAATACCTACATGACCTGAGTTGCTAGGAGGATTCAACTAAACGGGATGCTACACATCAGGGGCACGGCACTAGCTGTTTGGCGCTCAAGTCTATGGGGGAACATGTGCTTCTTCCCGTGTCCCAATAATTCGTTTATGCGCCTGCACTACTCATCACGTGAAGACCCGTGTCCGTCTCCCTCAAGGTCCTGCCAGCTCCGAAGGCCAGGCCGTGTGCATCTTATCCACCCCCGTCTCCTCAGATGCCGGATCCCAGTCCCTGGCCGGTGGACTCACACACGCTTGTTGAATGAATGAACCGGGAGGGAGGACGACAATCAGGCGGCTGTCGCTCAGGGCTCGGCGCGGAGCTCGGACGCGGGAGGCGGCCCCCCCTCAGCCCGCGGGCGGCCCTCACGGCCGCCTCTCCACGCCTCTCCGCAGCAGGCCGGCCTCCCGGGGAGCGCGCCGGAACCGAGCCCCGCGGCGAAGCCCGCGCTCCGCGTCGCCTCCGCCAGCCCAGCCCCAGAGGCCCGACCCTCTTCACCTGGTCTCCAAGAATACGTTGGGCGGCTGCCAGGAGTCGGGGGGGATCGCCGCCATGGCGAAGCCCGCGGAATCCTTCTCTGGCAACAGCTACTTCCGGCGTGGATGTGCCGGGGACCCGCCGCTGCTGCGCACACTTCCGGTCTCCCGGTCTCCCCAGTTCTACTGTTTAGATGCCAGGATTTGGGTGGCTGGGACAAGGGAGAGGAAGGAATCATCCTCCAAGGCCAGGAAGCTGGCGTGCGAGGCGAGAAACAGGCCGGCTGCCAGGACGGAGAAAAGTGCAAGCTCCATTAGACGTTGTCTGCAAGGGGAGATACCGCGCCTCTCTCCGGGCGATCTGATTGGTTCATTTGGGCGTGGAAGGCGGGAACAACCAGCAAATCTGAACTCCGATTGGAGTTATGCCCTAACTTTCAACTCGAAGAATTTCTTAGTCCCACAAAAGGGCAGGGACCGAAAGCGGGGAGAAGGATGAAAGAAAATAGAGATGGGAGGTACCAGTAACTAACTTTTGTCAGGCGCTATACAACTTACATAGCGCTTACACTTTATTATCTTATCTACTCCACAAAGCAATCCTGTAAAGTAGATATTATTATTATTCCCATTTTTCACTTGTGAAAACTGAGACTCCGCAGTTAAATGACTTATTTGTCCATAGCCATACCGCAAAGCTGAGCCTCCAGACTCCAAAGACAAGGAGTCTGGGGAGAGAGGAGAGGGAAGGGCCGGGAAGAAAATGAGAGATAAGAAAAGGGCGAGACAGGAGAATGAAGATCAAAGGGATCAGGGCTAGAGCAAGGCTTAGAGCGACTGGCTGGGATAGATGGTGCTTCAGGGTTGTTAGGACGGTTTGCTCAGGGTCAAAGGAGGAGAAAAGTAGAGGCACTGCGAGGAGGTTTGGAGGGAGGGCAGGAAAGAAAGAAACTCATATTGTAAATGCTTTGCACACCACTTAATAAGGACGTCTAATGAATGCTTACTTTGTGCCAGGCATCGAGCTAAGCACTATTGTGTACTTTCACACTCTTAAAATCAAACACAAATGGAGACCAGACTTGAAAATTCCCTGAGTAGACAAACCAGTTTAGCCACACAAGCAAAATTAATTTCGCTTATTCTGTAAAACACGCAAAACTTAATTTGGGCCGCTTCTTGTTAATGCCTCTGAAAGTCATAAACGAAACTTAAATTGTTCCCCCAAATTAATATGAGGTAACCACTTTTAACCCAGCCCCTATAACTGGGAAAACTCTAATGTTACAACCAATCACGATGAAGAATGAACAGCACTGCTGCCTCACTATATAAACTGCTTTGTAACAATATGCCTCTGAGCCTCCTGCCGTGCTGGGTTTGAGTGCTCCCAGTTCGCAAACTGTTTTTGTGCACAATAAACTTTTACTAATGACTATTTCAGTGTTCCCAGTGGTTTTACATTCACTATTTCTGAACTTTTGACAACACTTAATCTTCAAAGCCCCACGAGGTAGGTATTACTATTCCCTTTTTACTTTGAGGAAACTCAGCCTTACAGATATTAAATAACTTGCTCAAAATACCCACAGCTGTGAGCCTGTGCTCTTAACCACAGTTCAATCCTACTTACCTTAATCGTCAATGGGAATAAAAGTATCGAAGATTGTAAAGCTCAAGCCAGCAGTGAGCTCCTTGAGAGAGGAACTGGGCTTCCTCCATCTCTGTGCCCTCCTCTCAGAGTACTGAGAGCATAGGGTGCTCAGGTTTCATTGAATGAATAAAGGACAGAAAACTACATTTTAAACTGATGTGTGCCGTGCTAATGTAAGGTACAATTAATTTTATACCTCCTGCAGTCTCAAGTTCGTGCTCTCTTTGTGACCCTTGAGCTGGATGGACAAGTCTTCTTCATCAGTCCATTCTGTTGTTATTTGAGTTGACTTTCTCTGGACCATATGTTAGTTCCTTACTATATAACTTGGTAGGCTTAGTGAGAATGCATTGGGGTTTTACACAAGAATAAGAGAGTGACTTGCTGTCTCATTCCAAAATCCTTCCTCAAGAGGCTCAGTATTTGTTGGCCTTTTCGTCCCCAAGAGAACATTGGGTGTTAGTGACTTCAGGAAGGAGTTGACAAAGAGACATGGAGTCCTTTTCTGAGTTATAACTGATAGTTCACATTAAATATCAGAGAAGCTTGTATTTACTTCATTTATTCTGTATCTAAGCTTCATGTGTCTTCTGAATAAATGTCCTTCGTTAAAAACAAAATTTTGAACTTTTACAGAAACATCATTTTTCAAGCTGGAAACCTGAAGATCATCTTCTTTCTCTCTGCTCCCTGTGACACATCATCAAGACCTGTCAATTCTTTTTCCAAAGATCCCCAAATTGTATCCCTTCCTTCCCATTCCCACTGCTGTTGCAGACAGTGGGAATAATAATCCTTAACCCCAGGATTATTTAGAAGTCCCCCGGGCTGGGTTCCCCGCCTTCTGGCTTTCCTCCACGAATCCATCCTACACACACAGCAGCCAAAGCTTTCTCCCCAAAATATCTTGTAGTATGTCACTTCTTTGCCCAGAAATGTTAAATGATTCCCTTTGCCTATTCAAGTTCTGAACCACTTGGCCGGCCTTGAAGTTCCTTCACCATTGGCCCCTCACCGATTTTTCCAGCCTGATTTCCTACTATTTTATCCATGCCTTAAATGTGCCACCAACATTCCCACTTCCAGGCCTTTGCCCAGGCTGTTCTCTTTCCTTGCAATGCTGTCCAAACCTCACCCAAGCCCTTGTCCCAGCTCCTCCCGAAAAGCTCTCTACTCTTCCTGTCTACAGGAGACTCTCTCCCCTTCTCTCTTCTTGGTCTTGAATTCTGTGCCACCTTCCATTGTTTTCTAACTGCTTGTGTCAGATTCTCTTCTCTCCAAGTAGATTGTTAAGAGCCCAAGTTAGGGACCATGTCCTGGTTCAGTTCAGTTCAGCATTCAAACAGGGCCTGTTCCAGACCAGAACCTGAACAGAGGGGGCCTCCAGTGGCTGAGCAGAGCTAAGGCACCAACCCACAAACAAGAAATTCTGTTACACAGGGTGCCATTACCTGGGAACTTTGTCAAGGGTTTTTCTAAATCTCAACAGAGAGAAACCAACACTAATGAAATGAGTCGATTTACCCATCATTTCCCTCCCTATCCTCTCCCTGAAACAGTTCCTCCTCCTGTGCCCCGAATCACTATTGACCTAGTCACCGGACAAAACTGTGACTCCTCACACTCCCTTAGCTACGTCCCCACACACATTACAGGTTACCATGAACTTCCACACTCATGATTTTTGTCTCAGTCTCCCACTGGCCAGATTTTAGAGTGAAGGGCTCTGAGTGACTGACAGGAGGAAGCAACCAGCTCCGAGGCCCACCAGGATTTCATGTGGCCTGGAACCCAAGCCTTTCCCCCGCACCGTTCTACTACCTGGTAGCCTTTCTGATCTGTTATACCTGGGAAATGTTTCTTGAGTGGATTCTCGTTCTTCCATTCCTTTACCTAGACTATCAAAGTTGTTTTACCCTTGAACTTTCCAAAGTTAATTTTTCCTCTTCCAGTCTAGCCCTCATCCTCCCACCGAATGTATATGGCCATAGCAGAACTCTGATCATGTCATACTGCTGCTCAAAAACCTTCAGTGGGGGCCGGCCCCATGGCTTAGCGGTTGAGTGCATGCGCTCCCCTACTGGCAGCCCAGGTTCAGATCCTGGGCGTGCACCGACGCACCACTTGTCTGGCCATGCTGAGGCCGCATCCCACATACAGCAACTAGAAGGGTGTGCAACTATGACATACATCTATCTGCTGGGGCTTTGGGGGAAAAAAAAGGAGGAGAGTTGGCAATAGATGTTAGCTCAGAGCTGGTCTTCCTCAGCAAAAAGAGGAGGATTAGCATGGATGTTAGCTCAGAGCTGATCTTCCTCACACACACACAAAAAAAACCTTCAGTGGCTCCCCACTACCCACAGATTAAAGTCCTAGAATTCAAGGCCTTTCTGGCTATGACTAACTGATCTTTACAGATTGTTTTTTCTTCTATAAGGAGCCTTGGCCTCAGCCAGATCGACATTCCAGGTTCCCAGAATGTGCTCATACCTTCCTTCCTTCTGAATCTTCTCACTCCTCTGCCTTGTGCCTGAAATGTCTATTCTCAGGCTCCAATGTCTGAATCCTTACAGGCCACCTCCAAGTTCACTTCTTCCCTAAATCTTTTCCTGGAGCACCTACCAGCCACTAGGCACTGAGGAAGATACAGATGGGTCACATACACTGTGCCCAGCCCCAAAGGAACTCCCATTCTAGGAGACACAGATAATTAAACACACAGCTACAGGAGAGTGGGGTGAGGGCTGTACTAAGGAAGCATGCCACGCTTCTTGAGTGCTGTTGTTCCAGAGCTGGCTTTGGGTAGTCAGAGGTTTCCCAGAGAGTGATAACCTGAGCTGAGATCTGGAACATGTTGGAGTTAGCCAGAAGCCAGGAGAGGTTTCCTCTCTTTGTAGATCTGGAGCATTGTAAGAGCTCAGGCAGTCAGAGCGTGTTTCTTGGGCTGTCCTGGAGCTGAGTGTGAGGGAATCATGAAGGATCTTGGGACTTGATTCTTAGGGCACCTGTGAAGTGGCAGAATCAGATTTTGTACATTGGAAGTGTCACTCAGACTGTGGTATGGAGGCAGGCAAGAAGGGCCAGGAAGACATGGACTTTTTAGGACCTCTGGACTCCTCCAGAGCACTTTTTTTTTTTAAGTATAAATTTAAATGGAAGTATAATATACATCCAGAAAACTGGACAGATCCTAAGTGTAATAGTTTAATTAGTTATTACAAAGCAAACCCACCTATGTGACTACCATCAAATCAAGAAAAAGAATGTTTCCAACTCCACAGAGGCCCCCACTACCAATCATTACCCCTCCCCCTCCCCAAAGGTAACCACTTTCTGACTTCTGAATTCATAGACTTGTTTTCCCTGTTTTTGAAATTTATATAAATGGAGTCATAAGGTATTTCTTTGTGTCTGGCTTCTTTTGCTTAACATTATGTTTGTGAAATATACCCAAATTGTTGTATGCAGTGACCATTATTTCATTTTTCAGTGCGGTATAGCATTCTGTTACATGACTATACTACAATGTATTTATATATTCTATTGTTAATGGGCATTTGGGGTGTATCCAGATTATGGCTATTACAAATAATGCTGCTAGGAATAATCTTGTATGTATCTTGGTGTACTTGTGCACGAATTTCGGGGGGTATGTACCTGAAGCAGAATTGCTGGGTCATAGGTTATGTGTGAATTATAATTTAATAGTTAACACCAGGCTATTTTCCAAAGTGGCTTTAGCAATTTACATTCCTACCAGCAGTGCTTGAGTTGCTATTGCTCCACTTCCTCACCAGCACTTAGTATTGTCAGTCTTTTTCATTTAAGCAATTCTGGAGCCTGTATAATATCTCAGTAGTCATTTCCCTAACTACTAATGATTAATGAAGTTGAATACTTTTTCATATGTGTATTTGCCATTTAGATATCCTCTTTTTTGATAACATCTTTTTGTGTTCAAATCTTCTGCCCATTTTTCTACTTGGCTGTTTGTCTTTTTCTTATTTGTGGAGTTCTTTATATATCCCGGACACAAGCTCTTTGTCAGTTTCTCTCACTCTACAGGTTGTCTTTTTGTTCTCTTAATCTTGCCTTTTTTTTTTTTTTTTTAAAGATTTTATTTATTCAGTTTTTTCCCCCCAAAGCCCCAGTAGATAGTTGTATGTCATAGGTTCACATCCTTCTAGTTGCTGTACGTGGGACTCGGCCTCGCGTTGGACGGAGAAGTGGTGCCTCGGGGCGCTCCCGGGATCCGAACCCGGGCCGCCAGCATCAGAGCGCGCGCACTTAACCGCTAAGCCACGGAGCCGGCCCTTAATCTTGCCTTTTGATGATCAGAGTTTTCTAATTTTATTGTAGTCCAATGTATCAATTTGATTTCTTACAGAACATCTCAATTTTGACTAGCCACATTTCAAGTACTCAATAGTCACTTGCATGGCAATGGTATTGGATGCAGCAGCTCTAAAGTTTTTTTTTTTTCTGGGAAAGATTTGCCCTGAGCTAACATCTGTTGCCAATCTTCCTCTTTCTTTCTTTTTTCCTCCCCAAAGTCCCAGTACATAGTTGTATATTCTAGTTATAAGTCCTTCTAGTTCTTCTGTGAGCCACCGCCACAGCATGGCTACAGACAAATGAGTGGCATGCTTTCACGCCCAGGAACTGAACCCGAGCTGCCAAAGGGGAGCAGGGAACTTTAACCACTAAGCCATCAGGGCTGGCCCAGCTGTAAAGTTTCATTGTTTTGTTTTTCTCATATAGATCTGCAATGCACATAGAATTTACTTTGGTGTATGGTGTGAGGTAGGAGTCAAGTTTCATTTTTTCCTATATGGATATGCAACTGACCCAGCACCATTTATTGAAAGCATTATCCTTTCCTCACTCCTCTGTTGTACCTCTATGTTATAAAGCAACTGTCTATATACGTGTGGTTCTGTTTTTGATCTTTATTCTGTTTAATTGGTTTGCCTACCTCTGCATCAATATCACACTGCCTTTGCAGCTGTAATAAAAGTCTGAACCCAGTGGCATTTTGTTTGTAGATCTCTTGTAGAAGGCAGTTAAGATCTTTGGCACTAAAGACAAGGAAAGATAAGGGGCCTGGGTTCAAATCGTGACTCCACCACTCTATCGGTGTAATCGTGAGCAAGTTAAGCTTTCCACAAACCTCAGCTTGGTTGGTATGAGGATAAATGTTGTGGGGCTATTTATAACTTAGGGTTGTTGAACCAGTTTCACAAATATCAAGTGCTTAGTGACGTCTGGCACAGAGTAAGCTCTGACTAAATATTAAAGAATGGGCCATGTATAAATCAGAGCGATTTGTTTGCTTGTCTTTCTCTCTCTCTGACTAGGAGCTCCCAGAGGTAAGGGCCTGCCCGCCATTTACGTTTCCCTCCCACTCCCACCCCCCAATGCCTAACACGCTGCCTGGCACGCAGTAGGGCGGTCAATAAAAGCTTGTTGCATGAATCAGTTCAGCTATGAAGTCTGCGCTGGCGCAGCAAGGACACCCCGGCAATGACTGAAGGGGACTAAGGAGGAAGAACCAGACGCCAGGGAAACAAGAACCCGCGCTCTCGTTATCCCGCGAGAGTTCCGCCGCGCGCCGCGACCTCGCGCGTTCTATTTCGGGCGGAAGCGCGAGGCGGAGGAGAAGGAGCTACCATACGGCGCGCGGCGTCGCCGGTGGGCGGGAGCAGCTTCCGGGTTGCGCGCCCGGAAGCAGGAAGTTGTCGGCCTCTCCTCCCCGCCCGGCGGCGGCTGTCCCCGAGGCGGGAGGAGCCCGAGGGGGCGCGGGCCCCGCATGTGAGTGATTGGGGCCCGAGGCCGGGAGGGGGGAGGCCGGTCTGTGACAGCCTCGCCGCCGCGCCCGTCTGTGACATCCTCGCGCAGCCCCTCCCTCGCCGTCACTGCCACCTCTTGCCCCTGCGCTGACCCCTTTTCTGAGCCTCTGGCGTTTTGCAGACTGACAGCATCCTCCGGCGACTCCCCGGGGGTCGACTCCCTTGAGACATCTCCGTTTCTTTCTCGGCTCTGCTGAGGAGAGCGAAGCAGGGTCGAGCCCGCTTGAACTTGTTTTGCGGGCGTCACAGCAGTGTCCAAAACATGAGCGGTGCTAGCGAAGTCTAGATTTCACTGCCCTTTTGACAGATGTCTAATTTTTTTGTATATTCAGAGTAGATTCCTCTCCTCGCTCCAAAACATCTTTTTCTAATAATTGTTAAGGAGGGAAATATTTTTTTTTAAGTGTGTACTTGGTATGTGATAAACATGGCATCTCGGATTTCAGAAAGGAATATGATTTGGTTTATTGACCCGAGTAAATGAGCTGTTTGTAATCGCCTGTTAGTACAAGGGAATTCGCCTGCTTCGTGTTTCGTTGTATTTTAAGGCCATTAACCCTGCAGGCCAGACTTTTTCTGGTCTAAGAGCCCACATAGTCTTGATATTTGCCAGTATATTTCTTTTAAAGTACTTAGTCATCACCTTATAATAGAAACTACTCACAGATACTTATTATTCTGACTTTTTCTGGTTGCTCATTTGGTTGTTCCCGTGGTGGAATCTTCTATGGGCATCTCTCCCTTAATAAATTTGTTTGAGTTTGAGTTATCACCATTTCCCTGTGAGGAACAGCATGGCTTAACCTAAATTCAACTTTGTTACATTGAAGTTTTGACTGAAGTTCACATGGCCCAATTTGTATACCAGAAAGAGGCCCTGTTTGCCCTGTTAGGCCCTTTCTGCTTTGGACCAAAGCATTCCAAGACCCAGTTTTAATCCCTGTGCCTACACAGCTCCCTGCAACACCACAGAGAATGTGCAAGTGTGAGGTTCCTAATCTGCTCAGCTAAACACTCATTAGCCTGATGTATTAAAAAAAAAAAAAAAAGTAAAATGAATAAACCATTAATTACATTAAATTAGTTTGGGAACAGAATGATCACTTTAGGTCCTTTCTATAAATTTGTTCAACAGAGATTGATTCGATTCCATGTCTCTGAGATGAATTTCCATGTCTGTTCTTAGTTTCTTTTATTTTCTCCACTTATCTCTGCTTTCAAGAAACAATTTATTGTGAGAGGGAGACAGGAAATAGATGTAATACAGAGGGATAGAGTTGTGTTTAAGGTGCAGAGGGCAAAAATAAAGGTTGGCATAAAGAGTTCACTCACTGGACGAAGCCCTGGATACTCAGCTTTGTAGGAAGAGGAAATTATGTATACAAAAGCAAAAAGATGTGAAACGGTTTGGCAGTGAAGATTGTGAGGAAGGAAGAAATGAGACTGAACTAGTAGACAGTGACCAGATCATAGAAGGCCATGCTACATAATTTGGGCTTCATCTTTTTTTTTTTTTCCCCAAAGCCCCAGTAGATAGTTGTATGTCATAGTTGCACATCCTTCTAGTTGCTGTATGTGGGATGCGGCTTCAGCATGGCCGGACAAGCGGTGTGTCAGTGCGCACCCGGGATCCAAACCCAGGCCGCCTGTAGCTGAATGCGCGCGCTTAACCGCTAAGCCCCGGGCTGTCCCCTGGACTTCATCTTATAACAATTATTGAGTATTTAATTTGGGTACTGGGACAAACGTTTTACATACCTCATCTTATAATCCCTTAACAACGTTGTTGGAAAGATACGATTATCCCCATTTTATGAGTGAAAACTGAGGCTTAGAAAGGTTAAGTAGTGTCTCATGAGCACACAGTAGATGGAGAATCTAGTATTTGCATCCAGCTTTTTCCAACTCCAGTGCCTGTGTTCTTAACCACCATGCTAAATTGTTCCCCACTAGGGCATGGGGAGTCAAGGAAGGTGCTTTAAATAGATGAGTAATGTGAACCAATTTGTCTTTCAGAAAAGTAACTTGTGAAGAGGGTAGAGGATGGATCAGAGAGGAGAAGGAGGACTGAAAGTATAGAGATTACATATATGTTTATATGGTCCATGGGAGAGATGTGGATGGCTTTGACTGCCATTAATATAGAGCTAAAGAGGAAGTGATGAATGTGAGAACTATACAGGAGGTAGAATCGAGGATTTAGTGATTGGTTCATTGGTGGGGATGAGGAAGGAGGAGGAGAGGTTTTAAATTTGGAGAATCCATTAATTAAGAAAAAGAATATAGTAGGAGAAATGGGTTGCAGGGGGAAAATAATGTCAGTTAGGGACATTGCATATGGGGGACTATAGGAAATTTGGGCCACGGTGTCTGGTAGGTAGGTAGATAGATGGTGTCTTGAGTTCTGGAGACAGAACTTCTCCTAGACTGGAGAAGAGATTTGTGAATCACTAACAGCTGGTGGTTAAAGCCTTGAAGGGAATAAGAAGATCAAGGACAAATGTGATGAATCGCAACGTTCAGGGATGTAGACTCTGAGAAGAGAACCAGAGAATTATGCCAAAGTTTGAGAGCAGTTGAGGGAGATGATGGGTAGCAACGGCAGCTGCTGCAGAGAGGTCAGGTAAGGTGGTAACTGAAAAAACGTCCTTTGGTCTTGGCATGTAGAAAGCCATTGGTAACCTTAGTGAGAGCAGTATCAGTGGGTGAGGGGAGCAGAAATATGATTTCAACAGGTTCATAAACAAATGGAGACCTGAGAAACAAGAAGGTGAAGTGAGGCCCTTTTTTTGTTTTTTTAAAGGAGCTTGTCTCTGAAGGGAGGGAGAGTACAAGCACTGGAAATCTAGAGAGGAAGAAATTTTTTTAATAGTAGAAACTAGAAAAGGATAGGAGCAGGTAGAGATAAGTTTAAAAATGTGGGGGCTCCTGCTTCAAATATGTCGGTGTTGTAAAAGACAAAAGAAAAAAGAAAAAGCTAGGATCTGTTCTAGATTTAAGTAGACCAAGGAGACATGACAGTTAACTGCAATGTGTGATTGTTAGTTGGATCCTGGATTTCTAAAAAGGTATATGGCCTTTTTTTGGACAGTTAAGGAAATTTGACATGGACTGGATATTACATACTGTTGAAGAATTATTAATTTTAATAGGTATGATAATGATGCTTGTGGTTATATAGAATAATGTCCTTATTAGGAGATGCATGCTGAAACATTTAGAAGTGATTTCATGATGTATAGCAAGTAACTTTCAAATGGTTCTGGTAAAAACAGAGAGACAGACAGACAGACAGAAAGCAAATATGGCCAAATGTTACCAGTTGATTAATCTAAGTGAAGGATATACAGTTGTTCATTGTACTATTTCAGTTTTTCTGAAATTTTTCAAAATAAAAAGTTGAGAGAAAAATGGAAGAGGCATATTTTCAGAAAGTGAAGAAAGTACCAGACTCTTCAAGTCTCACTGGGCAGAGATGTCCAGAAAGACTGTTAGATTCAAGTGATGATAAAAGTGCAAAAAAGCAGGGCCGGCCCAGTGGCGCAAGCGGTTAAGTGCATGCGCTCCGCTGCCGCGGCCCGGGGTTTGCTGGTTTGGATCCCGGGCGCGCACCGACGCACTGCTTCTCCGGCCATGCTGAGGCCACGTCCCACATACAGCAACTAGAAGGAAGTGCAGCTATGACATACAACTATCTACTGGGGCTTTGGGGGAAAAAATAAATAAAATTATAAAACAAAGAAAACCTTTAAAAAAAAAAGTGCAAAAAAGTAGAATTCCTTCAACTGCAAGTTTTAAGCACTTATTATAGTTTCAAATTGCTACTCTTTTAAATCATATTGTTTTAATGTTTTATCAATTATTTTTTCTTTAAATATGATGTTTGTTTTTTCTTAGTGATTTTTACTATAATCCAAAAATCATATTTTTTACCCTTTAGTCAAACATGTCTTCAATTAATGGGAATCATTGGATAAAATAGGATGGAATATATTCATAACACTAAAGAATGGATTATCATACTACATAGCTAGCAGAATACTAAAAAACCTAGTAGGGGAAAAAGAAAATTTAGTATTACTCTGGATGTTGCTCCCATTCTTGAAGATTGGAACATATTTAGATGAGTCTTAGAAGCTTTCTTTCTGAACTATAGCGTTTCTTGTTTTGTGTTTTAACTAGGTGAATCAGTACTGCGTCTTAGAGTTGCCTAGCGGGCATAGCTGTTTAGTTTGGAAAACTGAGAACCTCCAAGGTGATGTCACATCAGTGTTTAGGACATATTTATATCAGTAGAGGAATTAATTCTTTATTAAACAGGGGAAAGGAGAGGTTTACATGTAATCTGACCTTTTAACCTGTTTTCTGCTTTAAACAAACATTTTTATTGATAAGTTCTATCGGAGTCATTCTATCAGCTGGGCCTCTGTCCTGTTTTTTCCTAGACTGAGACTCAGAAGGAATTGTGGAGAACATCTCATCAGAGCTGTCAGTTGCTTCCTCCTATTCCTGAAGTGCTCCTTCAGAAGTGAACAGCCCCTGGCCTACCTCCCCCAGACCTCTCTTGAAAGCAGGATTTCTTTCTTTCTTTTTTTTTTTTTTATGTGAGGAAGCTCAGCCCTGAGCTAACATCTATGCCAATCCTCCTTTTTTGCTGAGAAAGACTGGCCCTGGGCTAACATCCGTGCCAGTCTTCCTCCACTTTACATGGGACACCGCCACAGCATGGCTTGACAAGCGTGTGTCGGTGCGCACCCGGGGTCCGAACCGTGGGCCGCAGCAGTGGAGCGGGTGCACCTAACCGCTGCGCCACCGGGCCAGCCCCAAAAGCAGGATTTTTTAACCTTAGCATTCCTAACAGTTTGAGCAGGACAGTTCTTTGTCTTGGGGGGCTGTCCTGTGCGTTGTAGGATGTTTAGTCTCTACCCACTAGATGCCAGTAGTACCCCTCCAGTTTTGACAATCAAAAATGTCTCCAGATATCGCCAAATGTCCCCTGGGGAGCAGAATCACCCCTAGAAGAGAACTGCTGTTCTAAAGCAGTGTCTCCTCGTTGGGAGTGTGCCTCTACTCAGCAGGGAAAAGGTTTGAAAACTTTTGCACCTGGGTCTCACTTCCAGAGGTTCTGGCAATTCAGTATGTCCAGGGTGGTGCATGATACCTTGATTTTTGTAACTGTCCTAGTGATCCTGCCTGTGCCCTTGCAGGTATAAGCCACCGTTAAGAATCAAGCTCACTCTTTGGAACTTTCTTCTGTGGCAAAGCTCATTTCTGCCAGAGTTGGACCTTCTTTCTGGAGGTAAAGGGATTGCCATCAAGCCTCAGCTGATTTCACTCAGTCTGCTCATACTTAATGGTTAGCCATGACTTGTGTTTGATTTCTTTTTTAAAGGGACAGGATTTTTTTTTATACAAACCTTTGTGTTGAGAGTGGACTTTCATTGGATCGCAGTGAGGGAGCTGCTCTGCTAGTATGAAACCCCGACCTAAAGGGACAAAATTTTTGTTGTTGTTTAATTAACATCATATCCACTAGATGCTAGTAGTACTTCTCAAGTGTGACAATCAAAAATGTCTCCAGATTTTCCAAATGTCCACTGGGGGGCAGAATAACCCCCAGTTGAGAACCACTGATCTAACCAAAGGCAAAAGGAGGACATATCATTAAGATTCCCATGTGCTCTTAGAAACTTCGCTAAATGGTTGGTAGCTACCTTCCCAATAACTTGGGAAATGTGTCAGAATCTCAGGGAAAAAGGATGTACAGCTTGCAAAAATATATTCAGTATCGTAAGATCATTGTATACTTGAATTACAAAAAAAAATTTTTTTGCAGTACAAACTGGGAGTTTAATGGGATTTTTATGTGTATCAGAAGGGGGCAGAGGTTTACAAAGATTGCGAAACAGTCATCAAAAATGATGATAGTTGGTCCTCCTTTTGTCCTCACCTACACTTCTGTCCTGTCCGCAGTTCTCCTAAGGGCATACCAACGTGACGTTCTCTTCTGCCTGAGGGAGACCTACATGTACCCTACCTCCCAACACTTTATAAGTTTTTACTAGGATCTTTTCTAGAATTCTCACCTCTTTCCTTTCTGATCCTCTACTGAGTTTTAATGGATTTCGACTGGGTATTGTTGGATAATTTATTGCGTTTGCTTAAGTGAACATCCCTGCTTGCTTGCTTGCTTGCTTGCTTAGAATATCTTTGTTAATTTAAATAGGAAAATGCCATCTCTGGAATCACTAGTCACAAAATCAAGATGTAAAAAGTATTGTAATAAGTTATCACTTTATTCTTTTTCCAGGAATCATTGTAGTCGATCACTTTCCAGTTCTCAGCCACTCAGTTGTGATAATCGAGGGACACGGTGTTGTGGTTTCGGAACTGCCAGCTCAGAATAGGAAAATACTTGGTAAGGGAGGCAGCATGCATAAAGGTTAAAGGCACCAACCCTGAAGTCAGGCACACTGGGGTTCACATTCTGGCAAGTTATGAAAACTTTCTGAGCCTCAGTTTCAACATCTGTGAAATGAGATTAATTACACCTATCTTTATGGGATTGCTGTGATGATTTACTGAGATAATCTTTCTAGAGTGCTTAGCACAATGCCTGGCGTATAGGAAGGCATAACAGGAAATGATAATATAGGAATGCAATTGAACATAAGTCTTTCGTTTCAAATGAATTGAATTTTTTCTACTTCCTGAAGTGTTCATACTCTTAAAATTTTAGAGCCAGAGGGGACTTTAAAAATCTTCTGGATCAATCCTCTTATTTTTTGGATGAAGAAATAGACCAAGTGACTTAGCCAAAATCATAACAGTGTAGTGTAATAAATGCCACAACAGGAGTAGGTTCAAATTTTATAAATATTTTAAAAACATCTTTTAAATATTTTATATGCTGTAAAATTCACCATTTAAAATGTACAGTTCAGTGGTTTTCTGTATATTCACAAAGTTGTGCAACCATCACCACAATTTAAGTTTAGAACATTTTTGTCACTCCAGAAAGAAACTCTATTAACAGTCGCTCTTCATTCCTCCCCACCCCCTCCCCTAGAGAACCACTAATTAATCTACTTGCTGTCTCTACAAATTTGCCTATTCTTGACTTTTCATATAAATAGAGTCATATAATATGTGGTCTTTTGTGACTGTCTTTTTTTCACTTAGCATAATGTTTTCAAGGTTCATCTATGTTATAGCATGTATCAGTACTTCATTCCTTTTTATTGTCCAATGATATTCCATTGTATGGATATACCACATTTTCTCCATCCCTTTAGCAGTTCGTGATATTTGGATTACTTCCATTTTTGAGCTAGTATGAATAATGCTGCTTGAACATTCAGGTACAAGTTTTTGTGTGGATATATGTTTTAAATTCTCTTGGGTTCATACTTAGAAGTGGAACTGCTGGGTCATGTGGTGATTCTATGTTTACATTTTTGAGGAACTGCCAAACTGTTTTCCAAAGGAGCTGCACCATTGTACACTCCCATCAGTGGCGTATAAGGATTCCAATTGCTCAACATCTTTACCAACACTTGTTATTATCTGCCTTTTTGATTATAGCCATCCCAGTGGGTATGAAGTGGTTTTGATTTGTATTTCCCTGATGGCTAACGATATTGAACATCTTTTCATGAGTTTATTGGCCATTTGTATATCTTCTCTGGAGAAATGTCTATTCAAATCCTTTGCCCATTTTCTAATAGGGTTGTCTTTTTATTATTGAGTTGTAAGAATTCTTTATGTACTCTGAAGACCAGTCCCTTATTAGATATATGATTTGCAAATATTTTCCCCCATTCTTTGGGTTGTAATTTCACTTTCTTGATGGTATCATTTGCAGCACAAAAATAGTTAATTTTTGATGTAGTCCAATTTATTTCTTCTTTTGCTGCTCATGCTTTTGGTGCCATATCTAAGAAACCATTGCTTAATCCAGTGTCATGAAGATTTTCCCTTTTGTTTTCTTCTAAGAAAAGAAGTAGTTTTATAGTTTTAGCTCTTAAGTATAGATCTTTGATCCATTTTGAGTCAATTTTTGTGTATGGTAGAAAGAAGGGTCCAACTTCATTGTTCTGCATGTGGATATCCAGTTGTCCCAGCACTGTTGTTGAAAATACACATTTTTTTAATTGATGTTTTAATAGTTTATAACATTGTGAAATTTTTGGTTGTACATTTTTGTTTGTCCGTCACCATATACATGTCTCCTTTCACCCCTTGTGCCCACCCCCTACCCCCATTGCCCCTGGTAACCACAATACAGTTTTCTCTGTCCATGTGTTGGTTTATATTCCACATATGAGTGAGATCATACGGTGTTTGTCTTTCTCTTTCTGGCTTACTTCACTTAACATAATACCCTCCAGGCCCATCCATGTTGTTGCAAATGGAACAATTTTGTCTTTTTTTATGGCTGAGTAGTATTCCATTGTATATATATACCACATTTTCTTGATCCAGTCTTCAGTCGAGGGACACTTAGGTTGCTTCCACTTCTTGGCTATAGTGAATAATGCTGCAATGAACATAGGGGTGCATAAGCCTCTTTGGATTGTTGATTTCAGGTTTGTTGGATAGATTCCCAGTAGTGGGATAGCTGGATCATAGGGGAAAATACACATTTTTAAATAGGGTTCACACCTTCTTTGACCTGAACCTTAAAATGAAGGCCTGTATGGCCTTAAAACAACACTTTTAGCAAGAGCAGAAAGTTTGGGGAAACAATGTATCCCCTTTAGCGTGTGGGGTTCCTCCTTCCAGTTCCTCCCCCAATTCCTCAAAGTCTGGATTACCTGCCTGTTAATCCACCATTAGAAATCTGATTCTGATTTAATTGGTCTGGCTTGGGGCCCTAGTATGAGCACTGATTAAAAGCTCTCTAGGTGGCTCTACTGTGCAGGCACAATTAAGAACTAGTGCAGTAAAAGGTTAATAGTCATAAAGAGGACCAAGCGGAGGGAGTCATTTGGAGACGCTGCTGGAAGAGGAGATAAGCTGAGGTGTGTGCTGGCTGTGGCATCTCAGGCCTCCTTTTCTCTGCTGGAGCTACATGACTGTTGTCCTCTGCTCTACAGGTGGCAGCATCTCCTTACTGAAATAGAGTTCTGCAGTCTCAGTGCTCTTTGAGATTAGAAGCACTTTGGAGATGAAGTATGTGAAATAAAAGGACCCTCTGCCTTAAAAAACAAGCCCAATATCAGAGGAAAACATAAATCCCAAGCACTGTTTTTCATCCCATAAAGGAAGAAAAATATTATTGTTCCATAACACAAGCACTTTTTTAAAAAAAACTATTTAATTTTATTTTACAAATAATACAGAGAGAATTCTAGTCTGCCACTTTGTTTTTCGCCTTTTCTTCTGTGGCCACTGTGAAACAATTTGGCTTTAAAATAACTAGGAGAACAAGTTGAATTTTGAAATAGTTATAGATCTTAGGTCTTTTAAGTATATAAAATACAAATAAAATGCCCTTTATTATCTAAAATTGTATTTGTGGAAAAGCATAAGGACTGCAACCTGCAAGGTCTGGAGAGCCCCCGTGTCGTGGTCTTCGTGTTGTCTGACATCCTTGCTCTGCCAGGAACAAAGTATATCAGCACGTTCCTCACAGCCAATCTTGCCTTCAGTGATCACTTCCTCCTCTTGTGTTGCTGAAAGTTCTGTCTGATGTAAATGGAAATAAAGAATTGATCAACAACACTCTCCATATTTCATTTCTTTTTATTTTAGTCAGTTACCAGTATTAGATCTCCTGTGGTTGGTTTCAGAAGTCATTTTGGCTGGCACTAGTGTTTCAGAGCCCCATTAGGGGTTTATTATGCTCTAGACCAGTTCTCCTTAAAGTGTTTGGGAACCAGTGCTGGTCTGTAAACTGTTAGTAGCCCACAATTAAGTAACACTTAACTTGTGTGGCAACTTGACATTGTCTAGACATATTCATTGTGTTTTGTGGAAGTGTTGGCCTGCAGTGGGTTGGGAAAAACACAAAACTAGTCCTTCCCCACAGATGGTCAAGAAGCACTGTACTAAAGGAAGTAGCTTTGAGGAGGAAGTACCTTAAAGAAACCATTGTTCTTTTTACATTTATTTTCTTTCTCCCAGGGATTTTGTATGGGAAGACATGGATCTTGCTGCCAACGAACTCAGCATTTATGACAAACTTGCAGAGACTGTTGATTTGGTGAGACAGACAGGCCATCAATGTGGCATGTCAGAGAAGGCAATTGAAAAATTTATCAGACAGCTGCTGGAAAAGAGTGAACCTCAGAGGGGGCCACCCCAGTATCCTCTCCTCATAGCTGTGTATAAGGTAAAAATGTGTTCTGACTTGGAAATAGCTTAGATGGAGCACAAACTCTTCAACTTTCTCCCCAAATATTGCTGTTGACTGATTCTACCATTGAACCTTGGTTTTTCTATGAATAAATTGGCCTTTGCTCTTGTTACCATGTGTTACTAGGAAATTTGCCAATGGCGTTAAATGTCCTAGAGGAAAGCTGTGTATTTATAATTAAACTGTACTCGTGTGTATTTTTTAATGGTGGACATAGCCCCTGGTCATATGATAGGAGCTTGGTGAGCCTTGTAATCCTCATAGTTTTTAAACCTTAAATGCTTTCGAAAGTGAATGTAAATGGCTTGTTTATGAAAATGGATTAGTTCTCAAGGGACATTGGGCATAGTAGAAGAGGCCTGTTTTTTTTCTTGGCATTAAAGTATTTTGTTTGCTGGGACAGTTATTAATCCTTTTCCTGTCTTTCCTTGTAGGTCCTCATAACCCTGGGATTAATCTTGCTCACTGCCTACTTTGTGATTCAACCTTTCAGCCCCTTACCACCTGAACCGGTGCTTTCTGGAGCTCACACCTGGCGCTCGCTCGTCCATCACATCCGGCTGATGTCCTTGCCCATTACCAAGAAGTATATGCCAGAAAATAAGGGAGTTCCTCTGCATGGGACTGATGAAGACAGACCCTTTCCAGGTAGAACACTGCATTTACTCCTTATGAGATACAGCTTTCTCGACAGTATATAATGGGAAAGGAAATAACATTTATTGACATCTAATGAGAGATACTTTCCCTATACTGTCTCATTTAATTCAATCCCCACTAAAACTCTATGGGATGGGTTTTATGATCCCCATTTTTGCATATTGAGAAACTGAGGCTCAGAGAGATTAAGAAACTTGCCAGAGAAACACATCTGGTGGAGCCAAATTCAAACCCCCTGATTCCAAAACACACTTGGTGGGGGTGAGTGTTTTTGTTCATAGGAAGGATTTGAATGTATCTTATTCTGCCCTTTTCTCTCCTGTGATCCCTATCCATAAGAGATATTTTAATAAGTAGCTATTGATTTATTGAAAGCATCTGGGTCCAGCTTGCTTTTAACCAGATCCTCTAATGTTGGGCTGGGTTTTTGTCTAGGTATATCCCCCTCTTCCTATTTAGTCTTTTCTCTCTGTCTCACAGTGCACTTATTTAGTGCTCCTAAGTGTATAATTTTGCCAATAAGTTAAATTTAAGAAACATTTAAATTTAGTAACAGTGCATCAGTGGCAGCTTAGGAATTCCTAGTCTGACAGACCATTTGAGAAGTTTCCTTTTGAGAATAGTGTAACATGTAGTAAGACTTGAAGTTTACTTTTTGAGAAAGAATAGAGGAATATTATTTGGGGATTTAATTTTTTTGGTGGTATTAATCTTATTTGCCCATATGAAGAAATATGTAAATTAATATCACAAATGGATTGTACATATTTGTGTAACTGTATTCTGAAACCATTAGGATCCGGCATAATTGTTTAGGAAGTTTGTTTTCTCTTTGGTGTTGTTTTCAGAAAAAATTTACTAGTTGAAGCTAAGCTTTATAATCATAATGTCATTCTTTAAGTCAAGACCTAATCAGTTATAAAAATCATCACTTGGATTGGGTCTCCTTTGAAAGCTATTTTTGTACACTTGAGGAAATCATGGAAAGATTTCCAAAATTATGTCAAAATCAAAGGAAGGGAACATTGTAAAACAGAAACTTAGCCTCGTAAGTTTTTTTAAAAATTAGCCCATATATTTGGAATTTTTAATTCCGGATATAACTTCCTTGTATTTATTGGGAAGATTGTTTTTGAATTGTCATCAACAAAGCTCAAAAGAAATGAAGTTTCCAACTCCTATCAGGAAGGTCCAGAGCCTGTGGGGGAAAGTATTAGTCAGGCCGGCCTGTGCTGCTTCCTCAGATGCACCTCTCCTTTCCTTCCTCCCCTCACTGCCTCCCTAAAGGCATCTTCTGCTCTTTGGCATGTGAGATGAAGTCAGCAGTTTTTAGGATCAGGTTGATGGCAGTTACTTTGTTTCTCCCCATCCTATAAAGTAAATCTCCATAAACTATTGAGTTAAGAAGTGATAGTCAGTGGACAATGATTGCTCATTCTCTAAATCAGAGTTTAAAAATTCAAGAAATGTTAGCATCTTGTCAACAAGCCAGGTTGTTTGGTCCACTCCAAGTGAACATTTTGCCTTGCAGATGGAAATAAAACGAGTCCTTGGAGCTCAGTTGTAAAGAGAGAGCATTGGAAGAGTGTGGTTTTAGCTCTTTAATGTTGATTCTATTCAAGTGCTGCTTTTACTTGTAAAAGTGGATATTGATGCACCTTATTTTCCTACGCATGATAATTCTGGGAGGCTATAAATGTAAAACTAACAGCGTTTTGCATAGCATTTGGAAGGAAACAAGAATGCATAATGATATAAGGGATAAATAGAAACACATGGGGGGAAGTAGGTACAAGAAGTGGGAACTGCTGGGCCTATAAGAGGGCCAGAAAAGTAAAAAAATATACGGTATCATTCCTAATGTCATGGTACCAAAAACAACTGCCTTTCAGTTAGGATTACTTAGCAATACCTTTAAAGTGAACGTAGGGCCGGCCCCGTGGCTCAGGGGTTAAGTGCGCGTGCTCCGCTGCTGGCGGCCTGGGTTCGGATCCCGGGCGCGCACCGACGCACCGCTTCTCCGGTCATGCTGAGGCCGCGTCCCACATACAGCAACTAGAAGGATGTGCAGCTATGACAGACAACAATCTGCTGGGGCTTTGGGGGGAAAAATAAATAAATAAATAAAATCTTTAAAAAAAAAAAAAATAAAAAAAATAAAGTGAACGTAGCGGGAGGATGGTGTGGCAGATTCCACTCCTGAAAGGAAAGCCCTGGAGTGTATTGTTTCCTAAGGGCTGGCCTGTCTAGTGTTCCCTGGGCTCCTCTGACACCCCTTGCAGAGGCGCCTTGGGGGTGGTGGAGGGGAGCAGGAGCAGTGGTGGTGTACCAGAAGCACCATCACCAGTGGTGGTAGGTTTCCTCCTCATCACTGGTAGTTTTTCCTCTTCCCTCCACCCAGGGAACAGAAGGTAACGAAGTGGGGTTCTTTTTCTAGGTTTCAGCCTTGGGTAGGAAATCCTGCCCCTAAATCCTCTTGATGAGGAGAATGAAGTGACTCTGTAGTGAGTCACGTAAACATCCCACTCTGTGACAGAAAGTAGATAAGCTGACCCTTATTTCGTACTTACCAGATGCCAGGCCCTGTTCAAAGGGCTTTCCATATATTGGCTCATTTCATCTTTATAATATCCTTATGAGGTAGGTTCTGGTTTTATGCCTATTTTACAGATGAAGACACTGAGGTACAGTGAGATTAGGTCATTTGCCCAAGGTCCCAAGGCTAGTAAGTCACAGAGCCATGATTTGAACCCAGGCAGCCCGTCTTCAGAGTCTGAGCTCTTAACCTCTCATGTGAATAGTTTGTAGCTATGCAGTATACCTGAAGAGACTAGCTTTACGTTTGATTTTGGAGTTCTACGTTCTTTCTCTCAGGTCACCAGATGTTTTCTCTCTCAGCTTCCTAGTCCCTGAAGAAACAAGGTTTTTTCCAGATGGTACTGCAAGTCCAAAGATAAATGGCCCTCCAAGCTATTGGCCCATTAGAATTTTCCTGAACTAGTCTTTTCCTAGGCATTCAGCCCAGCTCGTCCTCCCAGTCTGCACCCTTATAGGTAATGTTTGACCTATTGTTTGACTTACTCTTTTCTCTTATTAAACCATAGTTTTCCCTTCACATTCACATTCTTATGCCCTCCCCTTCCCCCACTGGCCTCATATCTTTGTATCCACTTTGACCGTGCCAGTCATCCTCTTGGCTTTCACCCTTTCATGGAATCACTGAGTCTTAGAGCTAAAAAGGAACTTTAGAGTTGATCTAGTACATACCCCCATTTTATAACGAGGAAATTGAGGTCAGGAGAGGTGAAGTGATTTGCTTACCCAGCTATAAGTGGGAAACTAGCAGTTGAACCTTGGTTTCTTAATTCTAGTCTGCATTCTTTCCATCACGCCACACTTACTGCCTGCTGTCTCTGCCTCCAGCCAAGCCAGGTTCCAGCATGTTAGGCTCAATTACTTTGTTTATTTTGGGCATTTATAATTTTTAATTATCACCCCCATTTACACTGAGGAGGCCTGGGTTGTTCTCGCAGACAGTGAGAAGGTGCATCTCTGTATCTGTACTGCATAATTAGGACTTGATGTATCCATGAACTGTCAAGGGAAGGTTGATGTGGATCTAGCAACACCAAGGAGTTTTGGGAAGAGCAGATCACTCATTGACTTAGCACTGAGCACCTAATCCAACCTAGAGTCCAGGCCAGTGCCCAAAGATGAAATGCTCAGACATCAGGGAATGCCTTACTCTTTTATTTGCAAATAAAAGATGATAATAGCAGCTCTGTCAAGCACTTGCTGTATACCAGGCACCGTGCCATGTATTTTCTCAGTCTTTGCAGCAATCACATAAGGTGGTTACCGTTTTTATCTCCATTTCAAAGATGAGGAAACTGATGTGCAAGGGGATCGACTAACTTACCTAAGGTCTCACATTTAGAGACAAATTTTAATACAAGGAGAACTCATAAAAATAGGTGGACTCTATGGTTTATTTTTTTATTTTTTATTTTTTTATTAAATTTTTTTTTTTAATAAACATTTTATTTATTTTATTTTTTTCCCCCCAAAGCCCCAGTGGATAGTTGTATGTCGTAGCTGCACATCCTTCTAGTTGCTGTATGCGGGACTCGGCCTCAGGATGAACGGAGAAGTGGTGCCTCGATGCGCACCCGGGATCCGAACCCGGGCCACCAGCATCGCAGCGCGCGCACTTAACCACCAAGCCACAGGGCCGGCCCAACTCTATGGTTTAGAGTGGTTCAAATGCATTGCTTCCTGAAGACCAGGCTATTGTTGAAATGATTTCTTGGGTTTCTTTTCTCCCTATGGTATGTGAAAATGGCCCTTGGCATGCTACCACCCTGGCCAAGGATGCCTTCACCATCAAGACTTCACCCTTGCCTCATGCCCAGGATGCTAGAAGAGGTGCTAAGCAAAACGAGCTGTTAGAGAGTAGCCTGATTAAATCCTAAGCACGTATCAGTGAAAGTCATGGAAACTGTCATGGGCTTTGCGGGCTTTGCAGGCTTTTTGTGGGTGCATTTCTAATATAAGAAATCTAATATAAGAAACCATGAGGTTATATTTATTTAATCTTTACTTTGAGGTTTCTCCAAATTCAGACTGCTGGTTTGATTTTTCTCCCCATAACAATAGGACTTAATCTTATTGTTAAAGTTTCTGAAAAGTCAAGGTTTCATTCATTCAGTCATTCAGTGAATGTGTATCGAGACCCTACTGTATGCCACGCGCTGTCCTCAACAGCACACTGAACACAACAGTCCTGTGCTCTTATGGAGCGAGGCTTGGCTTTGTGCCTTTCTTCTGCCCTATCCTTTTCACCAGGAGAGAGTCTTTTGTCCTGGAAAGAAATCTTTTTTTTTTTGCTTTTTGCCAGGTTAGTAATCTGCATAAAAGGACTCTCTCCGCTCAGAATTCCAGGGCGTGTTATGGTTGTCCACAGTGAGCCAGCCGAAGTGCATTTTTTTTTGTAAACAACTCTCAGGCACCAGGAAGCCTCCTGACAGGCTTTGGCCTCCACTTTTCTGCAGAGTGCCCAACTTGCAGAGAAGGCTGGAAGGTTACAGTTTCTGCCTTTCTTAACTTCACGGCTATGTTTTGTCTGAGAGACTGTTTTTGACATCTCAAGCGAAATGAGTCCGTATCATGGTGAGAATTTGGAATTCAGGTCATGAATTTTATTGAACTCTTACATGTGGAATTTCACTTCTCTGTCACACTTTTTTTGAGTATATAAAATAGCTAGTGTGAGGAGGATATCTGGAGTAAAGAAGCCTTGGAAATTAAAAGAAAGTTAGAAGTTGCTATCCAACTTCCACTGCCCTTTCTGTCTGGTGTTGCAGAGAGTGGATAGAAACAGAGGAGGCCTGGAAAGACGTGAGGTACAGCATGTTAGGTAGTTGAAGAAAAGCTATGGACTGGGCTGGTACGGGATGCCTCCATCTTTATATGGCCGTCTTCCCTCTGTGTGTCCTCTCCTCTTCTTATAAGGACACGATTTAGATTGGATTTAGGGCCTATTTCACTTCAGTATGACCTCATCTTATTTAATTACGTCTATAAAGACCCTGTCACATTCTGAGGTTCCAGAAGGACTTGAGTTTTGAGGGAACACTATTCAGCCCAGTATATTAGGTTGAATATGTATACATTTATTGAGTACACGTATATACTTCAGTTGAGTGTGTGTGTATATACCCACTTAACTGGGTATGTATATAAACCAGTACCTTTTTCAGGATTTTATATTATTCCATAGTTTAACAGTTTCTAGTTTTTTTGCTATTATAAAAAATGCACCTGGGATATTCATATACACGTATATTTATATACACGTACCATTATTTCTGTAAGATAGATTCTTGGAAGCAGATAGCTGGGTCAAAGGGCATATATGCATGTTAAATTTTAATAAATACTACCAAATTGTCTTCATAAACTTATACCAGTGTATACTTTCATTAACAGCATAGATTGATCATCAACACTGGATGTTGTCATTGTTTGGCCAGTTAGAAAACTAAAGAATGATATCTCATTTTAAGTTGCATTTCTTTGATTATTAGTGGAGTTGGATGTCTTTTCATATGTTTTATAGGCCATTTATATTTATTTTTCTGTGAGTTGCTTTTTCATATTCTTTGCCCATTTGAAATTTCTTATCAAAGAGGAGTTCATTTTTATGTATTAGAGATATTAATTCTTTGCCTCTTACAGGCAAATACTGGTTGAATCTGTCCATTTTTTCTTTATAGTGTCTTGGTTTGTATCTTGCTTAGGAAGCCTTTCTTGCTCCCAAAATTATAAAAATCATCTCATGTTTTCCTCTAATTATTTTTAAAATTTTGTTTTATCCATTTATATCTTTAATTTATCTAGAATTTATTTCAGTGTATAGTGAAAGATAGGGCTCACACTTTATTTTCTTCCAAATAGATGGCCACTTGTCCCAATATCATTTACCAAATCCATCCTTTCTTCTCTGAATTAAGATTGACCTTTATCATGAATTAAATGTTATCATATATGTATACTGGATCTGTTGACACATCTTTATTCTGTTTTGTTAAGCTTTTTATTTGTTCCTTTATAAGAACATGCCATCGATTCTCATCATTTGCTGTAGTTATGTTTTATGAAGTTTCTGCAAATATTGAGTTAGTGAATACTGACACTTTGCCCCAAGGGGAGTACAGAGTTAGGTTCTTGAGAGTCTCTGGCCACATTTTCATCAACTGATCAATGCATCACCTTGTTTTATGTGTGTTTCTGTTTAAAGACACCTTATTTAATATATATTGTTGATTCATTAACATTGAGCTCACAGTCAACAGCACTATAACTCATGCCTGAACAAAGCTGATCTAACACATACATTTTCTCTGTAAGGCACAACACATCCTTCTTGCGTTTAGAAACACTAGCTAGTACTTTAGCACTATGCTTGGGGGCCTTTTTTAAATTAATAAACTATTTTTAGAGCAGTTTTAGGTTCACAGCAAAATTGAGCAGAAAATATGGAGTTCCCATATACCCGTCGACCCCACAAACACACAGCTCTCTTGGGGGCCAGTTTAAACAGCAAAATTTCCAACAAAAATGCAGAAAATGTGGCACTAAATAGACAGTGAAAAGGACACTTGTTTACAGTATGAGGTGAAACAAAAAGGCAGAGCATTGCCTTGTTCCACCTAAGCTGGGATTTGCTGTCCTGCACGTCTGTGGATGACTGCGAAAGCACCACAGATATTAATTTGGGGGTTACAAGTAAGTTTTAGAGAATAGGTAAATTCATAGTTAGAAATCTGTGAATAATGAGGATTGACTGTACTATTTTAATTACAGTAGCTTTATAGAATGCTACTATATTTTTACATCTGGTAAAGCAAGTCCCTCATTATTTTTTCTTTTTCAAGAATTTATTGTCATACAATTCAATAATAGAAAGACAAATAACCCAATTAAAAATGGGCAAGAGATGTGAATAGACATGTCTCCAAAAATGACTTACAGATAACCAATATGCACATTAAAACACGCTCAGCATCGTTAGCCATCAAGGAAATGCAAATCAAAAGCACAGTGAGAAGCCACTTCATACCCACGAGGATGGCTATAATAAAAAAGATAGACAATAAGAAGTATTGGCAAGGATGTGGAGAAATTGGAACCCTCATCCATTGCTGATGGGAATGTAAAATAGTGCAGCTTCTTTGGAAAACAGTTTGGTAGTTCCTCAAAAATTTAAACGTAGAGTTACCAGATGACCTAGTAATTCCATGCCTAGGTGTGTACGCAAGAGAACTGAAAACATATGCCCACACAAAAACTTGTACGCAAATGTTCATGGGAACATTATTCATAATAGCCCCAAAGTGGAAACAACCCAAATGTCCAACAACTTATGAATGAATAAACAAAATGTAGTATATCCACATAATGGAATATTACTCAGCAAGAGAAGGGAATGAGGAACTGATAGTGCTATAATATGGATGAACCTTGAAAACATTATGCTAAATTAAAGAAGCCAGACACAAAAGACCATATATTATATGAAATTCCATTTATATGAAATATCAGAATAGGCAAATCCATAGTGACTAAAAGATGAGTGGTTGCTTAGGGCTGGTGGAAGAGGGATTGGAATGGGAGGTGACTGCTAATAGGTACAGGGTTTATTGTTAGGGTGATAAAATGTTTTAAAGTTAGATAATGGTGATGGTAACACAAGTCTGTGAATATACTAAAAACCACTAAATTGTACAGTTAAATGGATGAATTTTATAGTATGTGATTTAAATAAAGCTGTTTTTTAAAAAAATATTCTCTACACAGAAAAAGCAAAATAATGCCCTTTCCCTCCACTCCTGCCCTCCTCCTGCCCAGCTGGAGAGAGGCCTGAGTCCTCCAGTGACCCATAAGCAGTCAGAGGTGAGGATCCTCAGGTCCACCATCCGCCCAGTGTCCATCATGTAAGGTTCTTTTTTTGTGTGTGTGAAGAAGATCAGCCCTGAGCTAACATCCATGCCAATCCTTCTCTTTTTCCTGAGGAAGACTGGCCCTGAGCTAACATCTGTGCCCATCTTCTTCCACTTTATGTGGGACTCTGCCACAGCATGGCCTGACAAGCAGTGCGTCAGTGCACGCCAGGGACCACCAGCAGCGGAGCGTGCGCACTTAACCGCTACGCCATGGGGCCGGCCCCCACATAAGGTTCTTAATATATTCTCTGACTGTATCTGTGCTGAGGGGAGTGCCCTCTGTAGATTTTAAGCAGTGACCATACTTCATGATTCCTTTGTATTACCCAAGATGCCTTCTAGCACTTAAATATTTCCAGAGTTAATTTGGGCAATGGGTGGGTTATTGCCTTTGCTATTCTCACATAGTTACTCTTCTAGATGAACTTTAGAATGCAGCTGTCACAGCCCCACCCCACCCTCACCGTCACCAGTAAGAAACTCTGATGAGATTCTATCCAAGTTGTATTAAATTTATATATATGTTTTTCGGTAGACTTGACATCTTTATGATATTTAGTCTTCCCATCTAGGATCATGGTATGATATGTTTATTCAGGTCTTATTTTATATCCTTCAGTAAAATTTTAAAGTTTTACCTTGTTAAATTTATTGCTAGTTGTTATGAATGAGGTCATTTTCCATTTCAGGTTTTTTTTGTTTTTTTTTTTGGTGAGAAAGATTACCCCTAAGCTAACATCTGTTGCCAATCTTCCTCTTTTTGTTGAGGAAGATTGCCCCTGAGCTAATATCTGTGCCAAGCTTCCTCCATTTTGTATGTGGGACGCTACCACAGCATGGCTTTATGAGTGGTATATAGGTCCACACCCAGGATCTGAACCCATGAACCCTGGGCCACCAAAGCAGAGTGCGTGAACTTAACCACTATGCCAGCAGGCCGGCCCCCTCCATTTCAGTTTTTAAATGATTATGGCTAGTAGAGTAAGAACACTATTGATGTTTACTTGTCTAGATATCTATATCTTGTATTCTGCCACCTTATTAAATTCTCTTTTTAGTATTCTATTCTTGCTTTCTTTTTCTTTCTTGGTTTCTCTTCACTGGGTATTCTTCCTCCACCTGCTTTTCAAGGCATCTCTATCTGGAAATCTCAAGAATATCTAAAGCTCAGAATAAAACTAAGTTACAGTTAAAATAATCTCTCCTTACTCTTAGGTTCAGAACTGCTTGCTACTAGCCCATGAAGCACCTTTGTATAAATTGGAAGAAGGTACCCCTTTCTCCTGAGACTTTACTCTTATCTCCTGGGAAGATTGTCCTAGTTAACTGATTCGGTTGGAATGTGACACCTTACTGCAGAAAAATGTCATAATAAATCTGCAGATCTCTGATGTCTCCCCTGTCAGTGCCCCCTTAGATGAGGAGCTCTTGGGTGGTCTCAACCCGCACAAACGTTCTCGGTAGTGCTGCTGAGATCTCTGGGTTGTGTCATCACTGCCTCTGGAGTCACCCCTTTCTTCCCAAGCCCACAGCCTCAGTTTAGACTCTCATTATATTTCTTCTCTCATTGCAGTACACCTGCCCCTCCCCCAAAAAGACCAAAACAAAGTACAACCAGGTCTTCCTCTTCCTGGTCTCTCTCTTCTGGGACACACAAGTCACCACCCAGAGTAACCGTCCTAAAGCATCAGAGGCGTTTGATGGTTCCTTGTTTTGCTCCCAGTAGAGTCACAAGCCCTAGAAGCCCTCGTCACCATCTTCCTAGGCAGCCACTACTCTCTTATCTCCCCTCCCCACCCCACCCCCCACCTCGCCTCCTCTGTGCTCTTTTCACCACACTCTGGGGCCCTGGTAATAACTACTGCCTCTCGCTCTCAGTTTGTTCATCTGTGACAAGTAAATGATACAGCTTGCAGAAATGACTAGCACAGGGCTTGGCACTTAGCAGGTTAGTTTCCTTCCCCTTCCCTCACAAGTACTTTGGAAACTGAAATGCTATATAACTGTAACATGTTGTTGTGATTATTTATGCTTCGTTGTATGTCCATTACCCAGAGTTCTTGTATTTTGGCAAGAATTCGTCATATTTGACCTCTAATAAGGAACATTTGAAAATATTCCAGAAGAAGAAAAAGGTGTAACTTTGCAGCCTCAGTGTGCCACTGAAACAGGTGCCACTGAAGAGTTTTCAGCTGTGCCTGAAGACTCCTGGTGAGCACCGCTCAGGAGAGAGGTGCAGCAGGAGTCTTCTGGTGGGTAATCTGCCCACGGGCCCAGACAGGTGAGAAGGGTAGGTGGCAGCGGCCTCGAGGAAACATGGGTTCTGTCTGCAAGAGACAGAGGGTGCTCAGGGGACGTGCTGAAATAAACATAGCCATTCCTTGATGAGGATTTCCTATGCTCCACTACTGCTGCCTTAAAAAAACAAGGAAAAGGTACTTGCTGCCGACCACAGAAAATGTGTTGTGGTTAAGAGTCAGTTTCCAAGTGTTTATTGGTTTAAAGAATTGACTTCATTTCAACCACATTTGGTTGTTTTCTTTTGTTCTAGACTCTCCTGATTTGGTTTCCATTGGGTTTTAATGAGAAACCACCTGGTGAAACATTTTGGATTCAAATTAGAGTTTATCACAAACACATAGAGAACACAGATGAACCCAGAATGGAACAGAAAGCAAACAAGAAATAATGCAATAACATTATAAATGGGATGGTGTTAGAGAAACTGAGAAGGGGTTATGTAGAAACAGAGCCAACCTCTCAGCGAAGGACCAACCAGGGCAAGGTGTCGGGAGCCGGCCAGCACTCCAGCGGGGGCTGGGTGGGACGTTTCATTTCTTTTTTTTTTTTTTTTTTTTATTTTTTTTTTTTTTTTTTTTTTTTCCCCCAAAGCCCCAGTAGATAGTTGCATGTCATAGTTGCACATTCTTCTAGTTGCTGTATGTGGGACGCGGTCCCAGCATGGCTGGAGAAGTGGTGCGTCGGTGTGAACCCGGGATCCGAACCCGGGCCGCCAGCAGTGGAGCACACGCACCCAACCGCTAAGCCATGGGGCTGGCCCGGATGTTCCATTTCTGACCAACCTGCAGTCCTTGGGGGTGGAAACCATGGATATAGTCCTTACCTCTTTCTGAGCTGTGATAGAGCACTGTCTAATGGGCAGGTGCAATTACCTTTACTCCAGAGGTGGGCCCCTGGGAAGTCCTGTCTCTCCTCTCTGTCCCTTCTCTCTGCGCCTTTTCCTCACTTCCTTCACAGAGTCATCCTAGCCTCTACTTGTACTTGTGAAACGGGGGTCTAGGCACACACCCAGAGTGTTGGAGAAGACCCACAGTAGGCTCATCACTGATGGTGGGACCTCCCTTTTTGCCTGCCCCTCCCCCATGTGCTGCAGCTGTTTCAGACGTGGGGTCACAGGTCAGAAAACCATGAGAGAACTACATCTCCTCCCCCACGTCACTGAATGTCTTCTCCAACTGTTTGACTTGATTTGTTGATTTGACTTAGGAGATACATGTACATGTTAAAAAAGTATTTTCCATAAAGTACAGAAGAGTGTGCAGAGAAAAGTACCTCCCCTTCCCACCCCTGTCCCCTGGGCCCTCTGCTACCTCCTCAGAGGTTGCTTATTTCATATGTACCTTTTCAGAGGGCACCAGTGCTTATCACTGTTAGCTTTTAACAAGTGTTATACTGTCTTTCCTTTCTGTTTTCATTGCTGGGGCTTCCAGATTTACCCGCTGTGTTCTTCATACATCCACTCTCTCCATATCCCTTCCTCTCTCAGACTTTGACCCCTGGGGAACAAACGACTGTGAGCAGAATGAGTCGGACCCCATCCCTGCCAACTGCACTGGCTGTGCCCAGAAATTAGCCCTCAAGGTAATGCTCCTGGAAGATACCCCGAGGAGATTTGAGAGACTCCATCCGCTGGTGATTAAGGTGAGTAAGGAGCCTGATTCTCCCACTGATGGGTTACCTGTGTAATGGCTAGAAAACATCAAGCTCTGACATTTCTGATAAGTAACTCTGTGTTCTGCTTTGCTTTTGTTTTCTGCCTTGCCAAGACGGGACAGCCCCTGTTGTCTGAGGAGCTTCAGCATTTTCTCTGCCAGTACCCTGAGGCGACAGAAGGCTTCACCGAAGGGTTTTTCACCAAGTGGTGGCGCTGCTTTCCTGAACGATGGTTCCCATTTCATTACCCATGGTGAGTGTGAAGAGGGGCAGTTAGCCTGCGTGTAGAGAGGGGGCAGACCAAACGTCAGAACAGTAGGAGCTGCCACTGAGACCCTACCGTGTGCCCAGTGCTGCATGAGCACTTTACAGTACACCTGTCCAGTCAGGTGATTCTCAGGAGCTCGCTGTTGAAAACCAGTGATGAGAGAGAACGGGGGTGAGAGGAAGCGGTGTGACAAAAGGAGCACCCCCGCGGGCGGACACCAACACTGCCTAATTATCTCTTTCTAAGTATGGATTCAGCATTTGTGTTTATGCAGATTGGGTCTTTAGTGTTGAGGGCGGGAGAGAGAGCATGAAGAACAGAAAGGAAACTTCATTTCTTTTGGTGCCTTGGTGCTTGTGCCTGTTGCTCATTGGTGATGCTCATCGTAGCTCTGGGAAGTAGGAATTATCACTGTCATTTTTCAGATCAGAGAAGTGGGAATTAGGGAGGTTAAGTACCTTGCTTAAGGTCACCCAGGCAGGATTGAAACCAGATCTATCTCCCTCTTCCTTCCTGTGTCCTATAGAAGACATGGTCCATTTCTTGGGGTGAAGGTTGCTCTCTAGAAAGAAAAGGAAAGCCAGTTTCCATCTAGAACCATTCCAAAAAAGAAAGTTGCTTTTTCAGACTTTTTGTTGGATAATTTCTTGATACTTCTGCCTTTTTGTAAATTTGCCGTTTACTTGCATGATTGAATACTCAGTTTAAGAAGCTAATCAGGCTTCGTGCCACATACCACTCCACCTCAGAGGAAGATTCACCGTTTTCACCCCTCCTCCTCCCTTCTTCCCGTCTCCCGCCTGGCCTGCTATTATTTCAGTCTCTTTTCCAAGACAGAATAAGTGGATTGTTTCTTTCCTTCCTCTGGGTTGTTTTAGCTGGATTTTGTAAACACTCCACCCACGTGTACAGATCATGGCGGTAGAGTTTGTGTGTGTGCGTGTACATGTTACAAGTAATTGATCTGTCATGACTGTTCTTCATGGACCTCATACATAAGATACTGTCCTGATATTTTTCCCTCTTCACCCCTGCCCACAGTTTTCCCACCTTCACTAGCTCTCCGTTAGTCATGGAGGTAGGCTGCCTTGCCAGTTTAATTACTTTTTTCTCTTTGCTACTTTTACAGGAGAAGACCTCTGAATAGATCCCACATTTTACGTGAGCTTTTTCCTGTTTTCACCTCCCTGCCATTTCCAAAAGATGCCTCCTTGAAAAAGTGCTTTCTTCTTCAGCCGGAACCTATTGTGGGGAGTAAGGTAGGGAATCTTGAGAGGACTTGGATCTAGAATTTTGAAACCTCATTTGGGACCTGGGCTCATGTCATAATCAAGGGCTTCCCTGCATGTCAACTTAGAGGGTGAAATGAGGGGACACCCACATAATCTAAACTCTCCCTCCTGTTACTAGCCAGGAGACCTGCATGGCCTGCCGTTTTATGAAGACATGCTTCCAGAAAGTCTAGTTACCTTGCAAATCTGTTTCCTGCACTTAACACCTGGGAGCAAGCTACTTTTCTACATTAAAGGAAATGGAATCCTAGAATTTGAAGGAACGTGGGCATGCGGTGCATCTGACTTTCCTACCTCAAAGTAGAAAGCATGCAAAATATAAATGAATAGTATGTAAATGAATGGTCCAGTTCACTCATTTTGTAAATAAGGAACCTGAGCCCCAGAGAGATTAAATGATTTGCCCAAAGGCACAGCAGGTTAATAGAAGGACTGTCTCCTCCCGCTACTCCCAGATTGGCTTTCCCCAGAAATGAACAATTGAGAGACTTCAGGTAGAGAACTGGGAGAGCAAAAAGCACTTGGGAGCCTGGAGAGGATTTGGGACAAAAAGGTTGATAGACATGTGCCCAAGGCAGGCAGCCCAGTTTGGATGGAAACCCTTCCACCACCAACTTCTGACCTTGGTCCACGGCCACATCCCCAGAGCCCGCGTTTACCTCTCTTGGGCCTGCGAACTGGGCAGAGCTGTTGTGTTTGCATCTGTTTACTTTTCTCTGAATTGCTGTTTTGTTGAGCCTCATTCCTGAAGAAGGTTTTTGAGCCTGGATTGGTTTAGAAGAATTAAAAGGATGAATTTTCCTTTGTAAAAAAATTAAATTTCCCAAACTGTGATCTCTACCAATTCTGGGTTGTCTCTTCAACCTCCTGATACTATTATTTGGCTCCAATTTTGCTGAATCGTGTTAAAGGAATTTCAAAGCCTATAAAAACAATAATTTTGTCTAGAAGTAAGAACTTCTGTCTGCCAGAGCAGGGTGGAGGTGCTGGGCTCTTGCCTCAGATTTTAAAGAAGTTTATCCTGCTGTCGCTGGCTAAAACTCAGGGCCCTCGTGTGATTTCATCTTCATAATTGTGATAGAATTCTGGGCGAGGGCCATTATCTTTATCTTGGTTTTCCCACTTGAATCTGAAGTTAATTTCACCAGCCTGCTTAGCAGGGACATCAAGGAGCACAGCCAAAGGGTAAATACAAAGTTACTCAGACACCAATCAGAATCATCTTGTGGTTCTCGAGGATGTGTGGGGAAGGGGAGTGGCTCAAATAGGCAAAAATCCTGAGAGTCTGGTTTCGTAGAGCATCTGTTCCCCACCCTGGCCCAAGCTCTCCTTTCTTCACAGCCTTGTTACTCCACCCTGTTGTCCACGTCCCTGGGCCCTGACCCCTGTACAGTCACATGTCTGTGTGCCCAGAATCCAAGAGGCAGCCTTGGGATAGAAGATAAGAAGTGGGGATCCGATTGTTAAGAGGCTCTGGAGGAAGAGGTGAGGGGCTCCAAGGCCCACTTCACCTACTCCACAGTGTTGCCTAGGGCTGGCCCACTCCATCCTGTTGTCTGTTTCTTCCCATCCTGGGCATGGAGGAACATAGTCCTGCCCCCTCTCAGGCCTGTATGAAAGAGAGATACATCCACTGGTTTTTGGTTTTCTAGGATTTTTTCAAGACTGCAGACGTCAGAAGCAGTGTTAGTACCAGTCCATCGCAGGCCAGCTCGAGACACCAGTCCTCCTTCTGTCACTACAGCAGCAATGGAAATGGCTCTGGTGTTGCTCTGGAAACAGTCATGGCCAAGGCCTGTGGGAGCAACAGAGAAACCAGGGTTGGGGACAGGAGAGGATGGGGCCAAAACTCAAGGTTCTGGAGTGGTGAAGAGAAAACCAGACTTCTGACCCCTGCCTTATATGGGCATATATATAAAGGGTCTCTCTGAAGGGCAGGAGCTAGGAGGAGAAGTGGAGAGGGGAGGCCCTGGGGCCTTCTCTTAGCATCTAGGTAGGAAGAGAAACCTGAGCAAGACCAGCCTTTCCCTTTATCCCTACTCCTGCCCCGCCCCAACCCCAGGGTTCACAGCTCTGCCTGGCACAAAGGTTGCACTGGATGCCTGTTGGTGGCAGTAGTATGCCTTCAGAAGTGCGTTAGGTACCTGTGCATGTGCATATCCTGGTTATCTCCTTAGTTTTCAAAATCAGAGGCCAATCTTACTGTCAGTTTTAATCAGTAGCATGACATATCTGCTCACCTGGGTCCTGCCAGAAAGTGTAAACTTGAACTTACTGCTGTTCAGTTCTTATCAAAACCCTGGTAGTAAGAAATAATATTCCATGGAACGTTGCCCAAAGGTTATGCAGGCTATTTCTCTAAAAAGTCTGGATCAAATCAGACCCTCCAAAGACTGCATACTTAGACCACCACATGTTGGCCTCTGCTAGACTTTTGTAAAATTGCAATTAGATATTTTGCCTTCAGCCTACTTTGAAGCTGTAGCTAGGAATAGTTGTGAATTATGAAGCTCATGCCATATCTGCGATAGGGCTGTTGTTGAGGATGTTGCCCACTAAATCACACAGTGGCTCTTTAGGAGAACCCATAGAAGAAATTTTACCCTGATCTCAGTACTGGGAGATGCTATACTTATTTTTGTCTTTTGGACATAATTGTGAATTGTGGTGTTGGTTCTATTTTCCTCTTTGCTTAGGCTGCTGGGAAACTCAGAGCTATAAGTGTCAGGGCTTTTGTGTACTCATCTCCCAACTGCCCCTTGGATTTTATTTTGTTTTCTTTTCCTTCCGTTTCTTCCCGCTTGCTTTTTGTTCCAGATGCACAGGATGCATGACCTGTTTACCATCGGCAGCGGTGAGGCCATGCTGCAGCTCATCCCTCCCTTCCAGTGCCGAAGACACTGCCAGTCCGTAGCGATGCCTCTGGAGCCGGGGGATATTGGTAGGTGGGGCCCGTGGAGGGCAAGGTCTGCCACAGGATCTTTTTAGTTTTTAACACAAAAAATATTCTAAGAATTAAATATGGGCTTCACCAAGGTTCAATTAAGTAGAGTCAAAATTAGCATTGTTTTATTAGCAGGGTTAATATTCATGCTTAGATGGAACACTAATGAGAAAATGTAGCAGAGAGAAATGTCTTGTTATATATGCATTTAGAATACATGTGTCCATTGGTCTTAGAAATTTCAAGTTAGGAGGATTCTGGAAAATATTTAGGGCAATCCCTTATTTTACAGATGAGGAGATTGGGACCCAGAGAGGAGAGGTGACCATCCCAAGGCCCCACCGTCAGTTAGGCAGATCATTCAGTCTTAAGCCTCTCCTTTAACAGAGTGAAGTCACGGGAGGTACCATTCCAGATTCGAGGAAACCCTTTCTCTGCCCATTTTGCTAATTAAACATTGCAAACAGTATGTGGGAGTACCAGCCACACAAGGAAATATAACCTTCCACGTGGGCCCCACAGTCAGGTCACAGCCGCACAGTCATGACTCACCCTTGGCTCTATGATTTCCCAACTGTGACTTGTTTTGTGCCTTATAGTCTAAAAATCCATTCCAGAGAAACAAGTTGGAGTCAACTGCTGTCAGTAGCAGTCAGTTTGACAGTAGAGTTTTTGTGGCAGAAGCAAATAAATCAGCAAGTGTCACCATTGTCCTTGTTTTTCCTGCCCCCCAAAACCTAGGGGAAGCCCGGAGTCCCTGGCTGAGCCCACTCGGGTTTTCCAATTGATTTCTTTTAGTTTTACCCATTTAGAAGACCTCAATCCCTAGAAACTTCTCACTTCATTTGGAGGTATGGTGCAGACTGTGAACCATGCCAAGCTTTAATCCAAGTTACATAACTTTTATTTCAGTTTAGAAATGAAAATATAAAAATAATGCACAAATGAAGCATTAATGATAATGAAGCATAGCTTGCCTGGCGTTTGTGAAAAAGAGGATTCTTGAGTGGATATTGTTCTGAACCCGTGTTCCTGTAGTGGAGTGACCCTTCCATGAGGGATCACTACTGCACAAGTCTTTGTGGCATTTGGGGTCGGGAGTGTGCAGTTGTGCTTGAAAAAGTTTTTGTTTTATGTTCTGCAAACGCCTGACAGTTCAGACAACTGCAGAAACACTTTAGTTATCCAAATTCCAGGTTTCCAGCTCCCACAAGCATCCAGAATGCCAATTACAGAATGAGGGGAAAAGGAAAAAATGGGTGACTGGCAGTGATCAAAGAGGCTTTGAGCATCAAAGCCTGGTAGGGACAGTCCAGAATAGCCTAAAATCCAGAGCGTGGTACCTGCCGTGCCGTGACTGGCCAGTTTGCCAACCAGAAGGAAAGGAGCCCTGTGGTTGGCAGTGTGCATGAAAGGCCAGCCACATGACAGGAATGTGGAGAAGGGGTGGGAGACCGAATAGAACAAGAGGAAGAGGGCAAATCTGGGAGAAGAACAGGGGTGGGGAGGGGTGGGGAGAACAGTGGGCACCTGAAGCTGAGGCGGAAACAGAAGCTGTGGCTGTAGCCACCACAGTTAAAAATGAGGACGGGAAAGCAGACCCTGACAGTGGAGGAGAATAATTCAGTGGTTGTAGGACAGAGGGCAGCTCCAGCACCTCAGGGACCCTTAAGAATGGCCCTGTGACAAGCAAGTCTGTGTTTTTTGACAAAATAAGCATTGTCCTGTGAAGGTTGAGGGGAAGGGGATAGGGTTACAGATCACCAGAAAACCAGTGATGGGAGGCATTTTCAAGAATGCTGTAGGGGTCAGGTGTCAGAGGCTGACACTGGTGAGCCCACGCATCTGCTCGCAGTGACCTTTCTTGAGTTACCAAGTAGAGGTTAAATGCTGTTCAGTGGTCTCAGTTTAAAGATGGGTAGGGTTCATCATACCCCAGAACATTTTCCATCAGGAGATTATTGAAGTGTTAAGAGTTTTTAAGTTTACCTTCCTGCTCACTCAAATGATAGAGGCCAGTGTTTCCTAAACAATTCTTCAGATTGTTCATGACCCCGGGGGGTGGGAACAGGAGCCCCTTGGAAAGGCCCTTGGCAAATAGGGCTCCTTGGGTCAGCTGACTTTGGGAAATGCCTGTCTGGTCAATACATAGTGCACATTCTTGTATAAAAGGCTCCGAAAAGCCTTGGAGGAACCTAGTGTTTCTCAAACTTACTTGACCATGGAACCCATTTTCCTTGGACTGTCTTATGGGATGCTGCTGTTTACAGAATACGGTTAGGAAATGCTGGTTTCAGTTAATCTGGATGTTCTGTAATGAGACCATATTATAGATAACTTCAGGAGAATTATATAGGCAGTCCCACTGCCCCTCAGAACTCATCCTGTCTTCTTGTTGATAAAGATGAGATCAGTCTGAGAATTGATGCCCAATGCCAGCCTTATCTAGAGCATCCTGCCTTTGTAAACCTGTGGAATTGTGATTCACAGTTACCCAGATGAGGGGTGGTGGTGAAGTGCTCTGGTTCACAGTGGCTCCTTTTGATGTCACGTTACAGAGAGGAGTGATAATAACTGGGAGTATTTATGCCAGGAAGAGCTAAAAGACCTTCAGAGCAAGATTTGCCTCTGACTCTGTGGGCGTGCCCTGAGGGCGGCTGCGGCCCACCTGCCTTGCTTGCCCAGTCCCTGACATTCACGTGCTTTCCTGTTGCTGTTTCCCTTCAAGGCTATGCCGGTGCCACCCACTGGAAGGTCTACATTATAGCCAGAGGGGCCCAGCCTTTGGTCATCTGCGATGGAACCACCCTGTCAGAACTATAGGAAACAGAACTGTATAGAGGAACAGATTTGAGAGCTGAAGTCGAGATTGAAAGGGGAGAAATAAAAACAAAAACAATGAAACCACTTTCCAGGGGTTGGTTACTTAGTTACCTGCCCTATGCATGTGTGTGAGCCAGCTATGTGTTGGAGGCAGTGGCCAGAGCCCAGCCCTCCTGACTTTTCCAGCCCAGCTGCTTGGCCAGGACTTTGCCAATACCCGTCTGTCAGAGACTGGGCTCTTCCAGGCCTTTTGGCACCTCAGCCTTGAGGCTGCCCCTCAGGCAGGGAGCAGGATTGGTGCCTGCCCTCACTTGCATGGCCTGATCCCCTCTGCTGTCCCCTGGCCACAGAGAGGCAGTCAGCATGGCCTGACTTCAGAGCCATCCTTTACCAGGTGGGCCTGCTTGTCCTGTCTTCCTGGCCACACACGCTGTACTTTTTTGGAAAGCAATGGCTGATTAAAGAAGTCGTTGCAGTTTCCCAAGCAGAACAGAATCTAGAACCAGTAAAAAAAGATGGGATAACCTCAAATTGCACTCAAGAAGTGCACTTCTTTCCCGGAGTCCAGGCTCTTGGACTCTCAGTGATGCTAGATTGGAGTCTGATTATAGTTGAAATGGTAATTCCTACGGTCATACGTTTCTCCATTTTATCAGATTCGTATGCCTCCCCCAACTCCCCTCCCTTCTCCCTTGCTGGTCTGGATGGTTTCTCAGAAGTCAGGCTCCTGGTCCCCCTCCCTTGGCTAGGCCAGGGCCCTTTCCTGCTGAGGCAGCACTGCTCCTGTCAACTGCGTTGCTTTTCCCAAGTGTCCTCAGAGGGAATGAGTTAGAGTGCTGGCTGGGCAGAGGGTGCCTCCCTGGGTTTGATCTTTAGGCTCCGACTTTCTGCAGGAAAGATGTTTTACAGATGTGTCAAGCTGATGTTGTAATGTAGTCGGGGAAGGAACTTCAGACCCGAAGTGTTTGCCAGCTGGGTGTGCAGCTCTGTGATCCTCTGTCTTAAAATGAGTTCTCTCTCTGTACTGCGAAACAAGGTGAGGTATTTTTATTTTTTGTAATAATATAAAGCTGTGTTCTTTTGATTGGATGATTCAGTATGTTCAGTGTTTTCCCCAAGTCCTTTTAGTATGTATTAATCAAATAGTGTAAATGAGGACACTCTTTTCTTGTTTCCTTTTTTTCCTTTATTACTCCTTTATCAACACTGTTAAATATCTGGCCTCTGGTCATGCCATCACCACAATGAAGAAAAAACAGACTCCACTATGGTTCTGAATTGCAGAAACCAAATGGATGCAGGAGGTGTTTATGTCAGAGTTATGGCCCAGAGGCAGACAGTGGTGAGGGAAGATGGTGTGACTCCTTGGGGGTCCTCTTCATCCTTGGAGGCACCCCTGCGCCTTGTCCCCAGGCCCTTTCTCTACACATCTCATGAGCAGCAGTGGGGATCATCGGGTGCTTGAACTGCCTGTTCGTGGGCTTGTAAAGGCCAAGGAGGGTTCACAGAGCTCAGGGTGGAAACACTCAGCCTCCTCCGCGGGCTCGAATGAAACTAGGATGAACTGTACCTGAGGGAATTTCTCCTTAAAAGAATCAGCGGAAAAACAAAACTTTTTGTACGTATAAAAGTCATGCTTGCTAAGCAGTTATGATTTAAGAGGTTTTAAATCACAGAGATCATTTCAAGGCCAGCTTTGTGCAAGCTTTTAGAGCCTTTGCAGTGTCCTTATCCATGCTGCACATGGGAAAGGATTCTATGTAAACAAGTTCTTTAGAGGCGTCTCGGAGTTTTCTTCAGTGAGGCCCTTTGGGTTAAGAAGAGAGAGGGTTCCTTAGAAGCAAAGCAACTGTTTTAATGATTAAGGTTTCTGTTTTGTTTTTATGAATTACTCTGTGTTTTTTACCCATTTCACTCCTGCTCTTCATACCTTAAATGTTCATAAAATACCCATTTCACCTCAAAACTTTGAAAACAAAGAAGCCCTTGCACATGTTGGTGTTCTGAGGCATCTGCTGGGAAGTCCCCTAAGCCCTTGACCTGTCTGCAATTCAACAACGAGTGGTATGGCGGCAGATAAGCGGAGACTTCTGTGTGTATACTACCCATTTTTCTTAAAGTCTATCCAGTTCAGAATTGAATATAGATTTATGTTAGGGGAGAAATTCTCCAAAGAGCGTTTTCTGCTCTTAATTACTGGGTACGTAAGAAGTAATTTGCCTTCTTCTCCAGGTAATTCTGGTAAGCAGAATCTACAACTGACCAGTCCTACATGAATGGCTTGGGGTTGCCAGCCAGTCCCTTTCTAGTTATCCAAGGCTTTGAGTGAGGGTGCTGTGGGATTTCCCCTGCTCACTTAGCTCTCAGGTCCTCCATGGAAGCAGCAAAAGTCCCTCCACATGACCTGCTGTGGAAAACAGGGTCGTCAAGTTGAGGAAGCAGGAATAGGGGCATGGTGGGACCACCTAACCAACTCCTCACCTCCACCACCACAATGAGAACAAAACCACAGGGCTCAAAGAAGAGGGAACTTGCTCACGAATTTGTTGAGTGTTAGCTAAGAGGTGACATGGCAGTGACTTCTGCACGTGGGTTAGGTTCACTTTCTTGCAGGTTCCCAGAGCAGAGACTCCTGTCCCTACAAGTCAGCTGTCCGGGGAGGAAGGATGCTTTGGGACCAGTTTGAAGCATTTGTGTCCAGATATCCTGAGGTCTCCAGGAGTCAAGTATTGAACAGACACTAGACCTGTTCTGGCTTGTGAAAAGAGGCAGAGCTTATCCTCCCCCACTCACAATCTTTTTAGGGAAGGGAGGGAATAAAATAATAGTGGTTTATGAAGACAAAACCTACCTGTTTGGTGAAATACAAAATAGTTTATGAAATGGGCAGATTTGGGCTCATTTTCTGAGAGAAAGGAATAATGACGTTTGTCCAGTCCATACCAATATAGGTATGGTATGGATTGGTATGGTATGGTAAGGATTATAAGATAATCCTTACTCAGTCCTGTAAAGTCGGTATTAGATCCTTATAAGTAAAGACACTAGGGCTCAGAACGGTGAACTGCTGGTGGGTAGATAGTTGGTTCCACAGCATGTTGTTTTCCTGCTACAGCATAGCGTGGGGCCCAAGAGTGAAGATGTGGAGTTAAGTGACTCGGGTTGCCCCCGTTGGCTAGGAGAACCTAGGGACAGGAACTCTTCAGGTTTGTTTTCAAAACTGTTTTGGACAGAAGTGGAGGTGGAATCTAACCAGATGACTTTTATAAAAATCCTTTCACTTTTTCCCTCTGCATTTGAAAACTCTTTGTAAGAGTGAGTGTTGCTGGAGTACAGCTGTGTCCAGCCATTTTCCCGTCACCACATGTTTCCAGATGTATGACCAGAAGAGGGACTCTGCCCACTTCCAGTTGTGGTTCCCCTTGGAGTTTACATCACTTGTTTTTCAGTTCTCGGTTTTCTGTTCCCTTCTTCCAAAATTTAGCATAGACCTCTATGGAGGAACAGTTATTTGAAAACAAAATCTCAAGTTTCTTAGCTGCAGGTGATGGCCTCAGTCATTTTAATATTGTCTGGAACGAGAGTTTATTTATTAACCAGTGGCTTCCCTACTGAACATTCAGAACCCCAAAGCAAATGTTCACTTCTCATCTCCTTGCCCAGCAGAAGGCCACGTTAGGGGAAAGAGAGGGAAAGCGCATGTCTGATTGCATGGAGAGAGGCGATCTTGGCTACCTTTTAGAGGTCTTTTAGGCTTTTGAGCTCTCCTAGCGATGGAACAGAAAGTCTCCTGTGTTCACAGGTTCCCCACTCATTACCTTTCAGTGGCGATCCATCACCCACTAAAATTGGTTGCAGGAAGGGAGTTCCAGAGATGTGCTTTAAAATAGTATTTTAGGTTGAGATTCTCTCCACGTTTGGCCCTGCGCACGTTGTGTACAGAGCCAATGTGTGTCAGGGCCAGGAGGCTGGGAAGGTGCAGGTGCTTATAGCAAGATGTAAGATGTCTTCTTACAGGAAGGTCGCCCTGTAGCAGATGAACCCTGAGGCTCTGGGCATGTGCTACGTCACCATCAGCGTGCATACTCCTGGCCTCCTTACTCCCACCCTCCTGATATCCAGCAGCTTTTTCCATAAAAGCATCTCAGAGGAGAGGGACAGATGTTCTCCCTCTCGTGCACCACATCTGAGTCCACCCACCCTAGACACAGTGTGGCTTTAAGTGCTGGCCTTGGTGAGAAACCCTCCAGCCAGCTTGTCTGTTGTCCAGGTCCCTTAGTGTCTGGTTTCCCTGCCCTGCATAATTTAAGCATTAGAGCTAAATACATCTGTCATTTTCTTCTCTCTGGAGACCGTGACATGTCCAGAGCTTTTCAGAATAGTGGAGAGAAGAAATGTTAAGTAACTCAAGGTGGAGGCCTAGAACTGTCCAGACATGGTGGGTCTGGCCCGGAGACCATTCCTCCTGCGCGTAGTGTGTCTGTCAGTCAGCCAGCCGGCATCAGTTCAAGAGAGCAACAGCTGCAAGCATGGGGCAGAGAAGGGAAACTAGTTTTGTTTTGAGTTTCAAACAGAAATTGGAAAGTCGGGACATCTGCTTTGTGCCAGGCTTAATTTACATCATTACTTCTCACAACAGCTCTATGGGGTAGGGGAGGTCATCCTGTGAAGCCACCTTCACTCAGATCAGCAGCGTCCCAGCCGTCAGACTTCAGCCCCTCAGAGCACTTTCAGCCTTTTCAGGAACAAACTCTCACTTATCTGTGAGAATTGGTGACAAGAACAGACGGACACATGGCATTCCAGAGAATTCCCGGTCTCATCGTAGGCAACTTTCCCTCCAAACTTCTTTCCATAGTTTCACCCTCAGAAGAATGCCGGCTGTGGCCTCTTCCCCCGCCTCCCTCTTGTGGGAAGGTCAGTAAGGATGCCTAGGCTGGGGGAGAAGGCTGGAGAGGCAGAGGTAAGCCAGGAACTCAGCCTCTCTCACCTGCTGTCGGGACAGGAGCCTGGGACAGCTGCAGGGCATCTTCAGGGGACCAGGTGTGGTGGGCCTGTATGGTCCCAGAACGCAGGGGGAGACAGACACCTCTCCCAACCACTCGTGCTCCGAATGGGCTAAGCTGTTAATATGTGTTCAGTGTGGAATGTTGACAGTAACTTAAATGTACTGCAAACTTGTAAAGACTTCCACCATGTAAAGAATGTATGTAAATTAAAGTTTTATGTAATGAAAGTTTTTACTTTTTGCAATTAAAAGTGTGTATGTTGGTTGATAAGAACTTTCCTATGCTTGGTGTCATTCTTTAATTTCCAGTTTTCTCTTCTTTCATAACTCAGGAGACTTCTAGCCACATCCTACTCGTGAGGCAGGCCTGTGGGGCTCCTGTGGGCCTCAGGGTCGCCTGTCCCTGCCTGGCCTTGGTCATCTCTAACATTCTCACCCAGCTTTGTGCTTGCTTGTGTTCAGACTCTTCTTTTATCCCCTATGCCAGCCCTTTGCCCACAATGGCTTCTGATTTGCTGTTCCCACAAATTCTCAAATCTCAGTGCTCCTGTTAATACCCTCCCCTGTCTCTGCACTTTGCCCAGAGTTCAAACAAGACCCTGGATGCGTTTTTCCTTCTCACCAGCTGGCTGCACATGGCCCACATGCCCTCTGTGTCGCCTCACCTGTGGATGTCCTCAGTTCTCACAGGAGGACAGCCAGGCCCCCTTGCTAGCTCACCCCAGCTGCCACCAGGGCCACTTGCAGCACTCACTTAACTCAATGCAGACTTGATTTAGGTCGTTTTTATCTGTTCATATTTTTTTGTGTAATTTCTGTTTTATACAATGTGTTCTCTATTCCATTCCATTGATCTATTTGTCTATTCTTTTGCCAGTACCACACTGTCTTGATTACTGTAGCTTTATAGTCAGTCTTGAAGTCAGGTAGTGTCAGTCCTCCAACTTTGTTCTTCTTCAATATTGAGTTGGCTATTCTGGGTCCTTTGACTTTACATATAAACTTTTTTTTTTTAATCTTTTTTTGCTGAGGAAGATTAGCCCTGAGCTAACATTTGTTGCCAATCTTCCTCTTTTTTTGTTTGATCTTCCTTTTTTTTGCTTGAGGAAGATTAGGCCTGAGCTAACACCTGTGCCAGTCTTCCT